ATCTTCCTTTCTCAAGCTGTTTTTCTCTGCTTCAATAAGGCCTGAGATAAGCATATTTCCTTTATATATATCCCAAAGCTATATTTTCAAGGATATAAGTAATATTCTAAAATTATACTTCAAAAGGGTATTATTGCAGAGCTCTTTATGGATTAAATGCAAGCAAAAAGCAACATCCTTAACAGTTTAATTCCAATGCTCCTAAATCAACCAGGGTTAATTGCAAACACAAGATAGGTTCAAAGGCCTTTTTCCATGCTTTATTTTCCTCAGTTATGATTAGAATTCACAGCTCTCGCATTGTCGGGGCCCACACATTTCGCACTCACAAATACACACGTTGCCTGTTTGTACCTGACACAAAATACAGCTTTGTATTTCACAGGCCTTGGTCTGTATTTTATTCAGATGGAGAGTGCAGACAGTTGGCATATCTGTAGCAGGTGTCCTCATCCTGTGTTAATTGGATGTTATCCCATCCCAGCAGGCATTTGAACACAAGCATAGCTATTTCACTACTATGTCTAAGCTTAATTAACAGTAGAAATGCAAGCTATATCTTTATAACAAAGTTACCTTACTATCACACATATAAAATGTATTTTAAGATTTGTGAAAAACCAATATTATAATATGTATCTAAAACATGGTGTTAGCAATGCATATTTGCAGATCTGGAATACTCAACTGCCATCATGGCCACATTGAAGTATGTGTGCAGCCCAGATCACAGCCCTGCAGTGCTTATGGCCCCAGCCCTACAAGTCCCCTTTCTGAACCCCAATGATTTTAGATCTTAACTGACCAGCTTAATTTCACTGCCAGCTCTGTTCTTCCAGCTCCAGCTGCACATTTCTACAGCTCTACTTCAGAGCAGCTTCTGCTGCCATTTAAATGGCAGCATCGTGGTTTTGGATCCAGCTCTGACACAATTCAGATGTCGCCTGAGACTCCCTAAGCCCACCCCACCACAGATATCCCCGCCCTGCATTGATTTTTTAGCTCCATCCGTAGAATTGCCATCACATGCCCAGACAATATCCTGTCATAACTGGGGTTTTGAGGTGCAACCTCCACACATCCTGTTCTACTTTCAGTCACAATACCCAGCCCCTACATCCATGTCACAGGCCTACAGTGATTGTGGGGAAAGAACACTATAGTCTATGTGCCAGCCCTATGGTTCCCATGCCTTACTCAGCTCTGATGCCATGCAACGACAGCTCCAGGCCCAGCGATTTCAGATCTTGACGCACAAGCTTTATTTTACATCCAGCTCTCTTCTTCCAGCTCCAGCTCTGTGTTTCTCCAGCTTCAAATGGCAGCATCTGGCTCTTGGCTCCAGCTCAGCAACAATTCAGCTCCTGCAGGAGCCTCTGGAAGCCCACCCCACCATCCATATCCTAGCCCTGCAGTGATTTTAGCTCCCACTGAACAGGCCCCAGTCACTTTGCCAACCCATGCATAAGTTCTCCTGGATGCCCACAGCCCCGTTCACAGGTCTGGTGCCTTTGCCATTTTCATTCAAAGTGCCAGCCCCACAGTCCACTTCCCAGCCCCACAGTGATTTCAGCTGCGCCCCAAGAGGTGCCATCACAGGTGCAGGCAATATTCTGCCATCGACGAGGTTTTCAGGTGCAAGCTTGCAGCCCCCTTTTCCCACTCCACACATCCTGGTCTACTGTTAGTCGCAATACTCAGCCCCTGCATCCATGTCACAGGCCTACAGTGATCTCAGCACAAGAACACTACACTGCCTTAACCAGCCCTAAGGTTGCTGTGATGCGTTAAGCCGCAACTCCAGTCCCACAATGATGACAAGTCCAGGCCCAGTGATTTCAGTTCTTTCAGCTCTTGACCCACAAGCTTTATTTTACTGCCAACTCTCTTCTTCCAGCTCTGTGTCCCATTCTGGGATTCGTCCTCAGATCTACAGTGAGTATCCCTTGTAGCAGTGACTGTTTCTGCAGCATTGCAGTCCCCACCCCATCCCCAGTGATTTCAGCTCCAGTCCCACAAGCTTTATTTAACTGCCAGCTCTTCTCTTGCACTTCCTGGTCAACATCTTCACAGCAGTGCCACACAATACTACTTCTGCTTCTCAGGACTGGATCTTTGTTTTAGCTCTAGTTCTTGAGCTCAGATCACAGCCCTTACAGCAATTTCAATTCCAACCATGCAGTTCTCCTCCCCGTTCCACAATCCCTATCCCAGCCCCACAGGGGTTTTACACCAAACCCTACCATATTTCTGTCTCCTCCAGCTCTGCTGCCTCAGCTCCAGCTCCTCAGCTTCCTACTGGCTGCAGCTAAAAGCTGCTCATGCTTCTTACTGCACCTTGGGGCTGTCGACAAGGCCACAAATCGGTTACTGCCATCCCTTCAATTTCAATATCTCTAGAAGCTGTCCCAGCCACCCCTAAGTGGCAACCCTAAGTGGCATCCCAACTCTGGGGACACTGGAGGCCTGAAGCTCAACATCCACCTTCCCCCTCACCCTGGCTCTCAGCCCAGCACCTGCACAAGGGCCCCCTCACCTCCCCTCAGGCAGCTCCAGGGGCTGGGAATAGCCACTGGACTCCTGCCCTCCCATCCCAAAAGGTACTCTTGGGCTGGTTCTTGGGCCCTAGAACCCTCTGAGCCCCCACACACTCAGCCCCTCGTGGGTACCACAGGGCAGGGGCTGGGAACCCCCAGGCATAACCTGCAGGCCCTGTGCTGCAGCTCCATGCCTTCCTCCCATGGCATTTATCTGGCCTCAGCATTTCCACCACTCCACATTGTTTTGGGCCTGACTCATGCCAAAATCATTATTCCACACCCTGGGGTTTTATGTCCCCACTGCTCTCACAACTGGTGTTTCAGCCCCAGTCCCACAACCCTTACCGAATTAACATGAGATATCTAGTAAAGAAAACAAATCAAACCAAAAAGATGTATTAAAACGGGCAATAATAAAATAACACTATTAAGAAAAGAAAACATTACAAGTAAAAACAAAATAAAGTAATAAAAATAAAAAAAGCAAGCTTTATTCCTCGTATTCTGAACATTTCTTTAAGTCCAGAAACCGCGAAGCGGCTACTTCCCAGCCCCCAGTGACAGCAGGCGGTCCCCCCCCCCCCGCGCCACTCCTGGCTCCACACCAGCCGCCGGCTACCCGAGCCACGCAGGGCGCGGCAGAAAGAACTGGACACGGCCGGCCCCCAAATACTGCCGCAGGCGCCGCGTCCGTGCTCACCGGCGCTCCCCCGATCAGCTGCCGCGGGGGTCCCGTCCTGGCGCAGCGCCGCTCCTCGGATCGCGCATCCGCAGCTCCCGTCGCTCCCCGCTTCACCGCCCAACTGACGCCATTACCGCCCCAACGCACGCTATTTATGCCCCGCGGGCGGACAGCCAGCCAATCACAACCCGAGGCAGCGCCTGCCGCCTCCACCAATCCCAGCCCGCCCATTCCCGCCGCGCTCGGCTCCGCGACTCCCCGCGGTCCCCTCAAGCGCTGCTTCCGCCGCTGCCATTGCAGTGGCTGCGTCCGCCCGCTCCCCGCCGTCTGCCCGTTTCCCTGGACCAGAACCTGATCCCGACCAGGACCTGAACTGGAAGCTCCCGGCCGCCCTTCCCGTCCGCAACAGTGCTTGCCGAGGCAGCGGCAGCGGGGACACTGCTCCGCCGGCTCCCAAAGCGGCGGTGGCGGGAGCGGCGCCTCAGACGTACGGGCGAGCGGGGCCAGTCTGAGCGGTCAAGCCGCGACTGAGCGGGCTGAGATTGGCGGGACCGCTTCCGGATTGAAAGGGCAACTGTGATTGGACAGGGCGGACGGAGAAAGGCGGGCCGTGATTGGCAGGCTTGGGAGCCGTCAGGCTGAGGCCCGTGGGAGCGTGGGGCAGAGGTCGGGCTGCCCGAAGGGCTCGCAGGCGGCGGCGGCGCCGCTCGCGAAATCCCCGTCCCCTTCTCCGGCCCTCTCTCGTGCCCAGGTCCCGGCGAAGAGACCCCCGCAAAGCCCCTACCGGAGCGCCCCATCGGCACTCGGGGCAGGGGGCGGAGAGCAGTGTAGCCCGGGAGGGGTTCCGGGTCGTCTTTGCGACAGCAGGGCGGACCGGGGAGCGGCGGCGATTTGGTGAGGAGAGGGCTCGGGAGCGGGGAGGGCGTGCAGCGCCCGCTGCGGGCTCTGGGTGCCTCTTCTACCGCAGTGCTTCCGCTTCTGCGGGGACTTGGCCTGCCCCGACTGGCCGAGATCAGCACCCTGGCCAAAGTGAAGTGCCCGCGTCCCCCTGCCCGCCCTCCGCCTGCTGCGGGCTCGCTGCTCACCCTCGTCGTCGGATGTTATAGATGATAAAACAATATTGGCTTTCACATTCATAGATTAGCTTTTTGCATTACAAGTATTTTGATATGGTAAAACTTATACTTACATTTAACTGCTTTGTATAGTGTAATATGCCAGTTTATGTATGCACTGTATATTTCGTATGAATAGTAGCGTGATAAATATATCGTAGGCTTTAGCAAAATGTTGAAATAGAAACTAAAGTACTTCTATGTAACTAACTCAGAAAATGGTGTAAAGCAATTATTCTGTTTCTTATAACTGCAGACTGCCCCTACCAAGTGATAATAGTGACAAAAAGAGCTTAAGCATCCAGGAAGCATTTATCGACTCTTATCGGTGTTATCAGGGAGTGTGAAGCAACAGGATAAAACTACAGGAAGAAATAAAATATGTAGACCTAATTTACAGAACGTTCTGCAGACAAGTCAGAGGTTAAAACCAAACAAGAGAGTTCCTGGAACATCAAAAAGTCAAAGGAATGATTGAATAATGTGTAAGTTAATGAAAATGCATGTAACCTCAGCAATGTAACAGTATATAGTGAACATAATTTTAAGCTACCTCTGCGCTCTTTGGCTGTGTGCTAAAAGCATCCCAGTGCTGGATTATTTTGTCCTTTTATCCTTTATCAAACTTCAAAAAATTTTAAAGAATGAACTCTGTTTATCACATCAGTGAAGCTTAAGCTGATCTGCATCCAGGTGTTTTGGGACCTGCTGGGGGAGGCCATCGAGGTAATTGTGGGGCTACTGCAGTGGAGGCCAAGTATTTCAACACAATAGCATAATCAGCAACGTTAATTAATTTTGTGTTCTTCATGCAAGCCTCAGCCTTAAGAACGCTACCAGCCTCTACTAGGATTAATAATACGCATAGTAAGTGTTACTAGTATTAATATTTAGGTAAGAATTGTTAGTGTCAACACTGGTAGTAATTATGTTAGCTGGTATTTACTGTGAAGCTCTGCTCTCCCACAGTATGACAAGGTCCTGAAGCTGTCCTCAGATGCAAAGTTAGGTGAGCACTGCTGTCCTTACCACGATGCCCCGATGGAGCCATGCTCCAGAGACGGGCAGCAATGAATCTGCAGATGCCTTCCCAAGGTGACAGACCTTGCCCTCTCTCCCTCCCGTCTGCAGTCAGGGGATGTGAAGGCAACCATTGCTGTCCTCGGCTTCATCATCTCCAGTGCAGCCAAGCACAGAATAGACAGTGAGCCTCTGTCAAGTGAGCTGCAGCAGCTGGGACTGCCCAAAGGCAGGGGAAGCCCTCAGGGTGGCACCATCAGCCAGACCTGCTGGGATGTTGCTGACAGTTCCCAGCCCTGCCTTCTTCACAGCCAGATGGAGGGCAGGCTGCCTGCTGTGCATCCCAAAGGTACCTGCCTCCAAGTTACAACAACCTCTCACTTGGAATGAGCTCTGTACATTTTTTTGACTATATCTTTGAAAGTGAAGTGAGAGGATTCTACACCAATCAGTAGCAAATATATGCATGAGTAGAGTCACTGAAGCTTCACCTAAATACAAAGAAATACTATAAAAGTAAGCCAAGAATGGAGAAAAAATTAGTGAAGGCTCCATCATAACTGCTGGGATCATTCAATGGGCTGAACCTGTCTTCTCCCCCATAGGAATGCCTGTTGGGTTAGAAATGCACTCTGCCTGCTGAATACTTTTATTGGGGACTACAGCTTGTCTGGATAGTGCTCTGAATAAGTTTTGCAGTCAAATACTATCACTGACAGATACCATCACCAACAATCCCTGAACCTTAACCTGTCACAATTTTATATTTTATATATATTAATATTTTATAATATTACAATTTTATATTTATATTTTTATATTTATATTTATAAAGAATCTAGTTCCATAAACTGTTCCATAAAATTCCAAAGTGTGACTCCTTCATGGATGCTAGCAGTTGCCAGCAGCAGGTAACATATTCAAATAGGAAGTCCTATTGAGGGTTCATAAATTGGGAAGACCTGCTGAGGGGTCTCCCTTATGCACTTGGCCTATTTCCCTGAATGTCAGTCAAATTTCAATCCATCAGGACTGCTCAACAAAGGGTCCCTCTAACAGGGCACTGACAAACTGGTCAGGCACAAGGGTCCTCAGCTTTCCCGGGGCACTGACAGACAAATTAAATACTAAGGGTCAAGGAAATCTTCCCTTTTCACATGACAGTTCTCCAATCATGAGGTTGTGATTCCTTGCAGAAGCTCTAAGACTGCAGACATGCCTGTGCCAGTAGGGCCTGGAGCATGAGCCTGCCTGGAAAGCTGTTGGTAGCTACTCTAAACATGATCACTCACTCTTTCACACTCCAATGACAGTATTTACTAAATGCCCCTTACTAAATCTTCCCTTCAGTGAAAGCCCAGACACTTTGTTCGAATACTATTGTGGTGGGTGGACCCTGGCTGGATGGCAGGTGCCCCCCAGAGCCTCTCTATCGATCACTTCCCTCCTCAGCTGGATAAAATATAAAAAAGGTCATGAGCTGAGATAAGGACAGGGAGACATCAGAGGGAAAAATTAATTGAATTTATTACCAAAAAAAATCAGAGTAGGGTAATGAGAACTCAAGTCTTTAAAACACCTTTCCCCCATCCCTTTCTCCTTCCCAGGATTAACTTTATTTCCCATTCTCTACCTCCTCCCCACCAGTAGTGCAAGAAGATGAGAACAGAAGTTACAGTCAGTTCATGCCACTGCTTCCCCCTCAGAAAGAGGAGTCCTTGTGCTGCTGCAGCATGAGATCCCTCCTACAGGATCAGTTCCCCATTAATTTCTCCAATATGAGTCCTTCACACGGGCTGTGGTTCTTCACGAGCTGCTCCTGTGTGAGGTACCTTCCCTGGGGTCAGTCCTTCAGGACCTGCTTTAAAGTGAGGTCACAAGTCCTGCCAGGAAAGCTGCTCTTCGGTCCTTCCAGGACCTGGTCCAACACGGGGCTCTTCCACAGGCTGCAGGTAGATTTGTGCTTCCCTCCTGCAGCCCTCCATGCGCTCCAGGAGGACAGTCTGCTTCATTACACCCTGCATCATGGGCTGCAGGAAAATCTCAGCTCCAGTACCTGGAACGCCTCCTCCCCCTCCTTCTTAGCTGACTCTGGTGCCTGCAGAGCTGTTTCTCTCACATATTCTCAGTCCTCACTTCTCTGGCTGCAATCGCTTCTGCCCAACAACTTTTCCTTCTTAAATATGTTATCCCAGACATGTTGCTACCATGGCTGAAGGTCTCAGGCTTGGCCAGTGGCATCCTGGAGCTGGCTGGCGTTGTCTTTGCCAGACATGGGGTAAGCTTCCATCAGCTTCTCAAAGAAGACGACATCCTTGTAGCCTCCCTGCTACCAGGACCTTGCCGTGCAAACCCATACACATATGAACGTCACAGAAGCCTAAATATAAGCAAGAATAAGTTCAATCTAAAGTTTTGTTACAGCTCTGCACATTCTTCCTCCTGCACAGGAAAAACATGCCAACTGTGACATAGGCACTCCATTGAACATTTCCTGCATTCTTCTTTCCTTCTGGTTCTCTTCCCAGATTCAAAGGAGCTTCTGATCATGACCTTATCTAATGAACAGCGAACAAGACACAGTTTGCTGAGCTTCTATCCATGCTGCATCACTCTTCCCATCGTGTATAAAATCAGAATCACTTATGGCAGCACTGATCCAGAGTGTCAGCTTCACTCCAGCCTTCACATTAACAGCACAATTCACAAAGTCACCTTGGTGAGTTGTTTCTTTCAATTAGATTGTCTCCTCAAGAACAAGAAGAAAGACCAATGAAGGATGTGTGAGGCAATAATATTAGGATCATCTTCAAATACTTCATTTATAGAGTCACAGAATGGTTTGGGTAGGAAGGGACTTAAAAGATCATCTTGCCTCAGCCCCATGCCATGGAGCTAGATCAGGTTACTCCAAGCCTTGTTCAGTGTGGCCTTGAACATTCCCAGTGACTCAGTTGTATGAGAGGAGAATAAGTCGGACCATGAGTATATAAAAGATACGATCTCTCAAGTAATTCTTCTGCTTTGGGAAATGAGTAGCGTATTTTCTCTGGTTACAGAAGCTGCTCCAAACTGTTGACTTGTTTGCTAGAGTTCTTTGATCACAGAAAGCTCAAAGAGCTGCAGCTGAGGACAGATTTGTCACTGCCAGACTGGTTTTTCTTTCAGTTCTTGTGGTCTTATGACTAAAGCTGCTTCTGTAGAGACAACCAAATTCAAGCACATGTGGTAGGGACCACGCTGGTAAACCATGCTGGTGTTTATGAACCAATACCATGACAAGAACAGTGCAAGTTACATTCTTTTGTTCATTCTGTACTCTAATAACAGTTTGAAATTCCTCTTTTTTATGTCATAATATGCTCTCCACACTCCACCACCCAGGTCTGCTAGCGCTCTTCACAAACTTGCTGTTACTTTTAGTCCATTTCAAACTGATAATCTGGGACACAGAATAAAAAGGAAATTTGTGTCCTGAAACTTGGCCTTTAAATTTTAGAAAGACAAGTCAAATACTGCCACCCAGATTCAGTTCTTCTGAACCCACCTTGCATTTATGTGGCTAAGCTTCAGTATTTTTACAGGAACATGCACTCAGAAACACAAATATAGCAGTGTCTTTCTCTTCCTACTTCCATATTCATGTTTATGGAAATTTTGTTTTGAAAAATGCTGTCTCTCCTTCCTTGTGACACCCTTCTGTCTATTGGCACAGCATTTTCTCCCAGCTTGATTTATACACTATGCCGACGGTTGTTTATCATGGCCACAATGTGTGACAGGTCCAAACTTTTCATCATAACCTCCATGAACTCCTCATCTTTCCTTGCTCCCTCCACAAATTCATCCAGAGAAAGTTCACCTGTGTCAGACAAAAATAAAGGGCATCAGAATCCACATCTGACAGGAAAAGGAGTGCAGTAATCTAACTTTAGAGACCACTTACTATATACTCAGAACCACTGTTCTAAGGCACTGTCCTAAAGACCTCAGAGAGTCTTCTTAAGCTTTTATGAAACATCCCCAGTATCCAGACAACACCTGCTTCCTTTTTTTTCCCCATACAAAGGAAGAGCTACATAAGAAAGAACAATAGAAGTGGGTACCTAAGGAGTGGGATCATGGCATTCTTTTTGGCTCAACCTGTTGTAATACTAACCTGCCCTGTACTTGCTGGTTTTCAAGGATAAAGGAACTGACAGGAGGAGGCTGTGACAGACAGAAACAAATTTTTATGTCCTAGGCCAAAAAGCCCTCATACAGGGAATCAGCTCAGCAGAGTTATTCTGGAATAACGAAAGAGCCTGTCAGGAAGCAATGAGCACCTGAAGTAGCAAGGAAAGAGATACCTCTCGGGGACATGCAGGGACCACAGTGACACTTGACCAACCTTTGACTGAGCACTTCATGTTCTTGCCATAGTGCCTGCAGCAGACCCATTGAAAAAACTCTGAACTTCAACATTAAATTGCAGTTCTTCCTTTCCATACTGAAGTACCTAGGAGCAGCAGCTGGGGCCATTTGATAATATTTCCCACTTCTAACTGGCATGAGCTACACAGCAACATACAAAAAGGAAAACAAAACACCACTCCAAAACCCCACTACGAAACTCATGTGGACAGAACAAAGCTTAGACCAGTACAGGAAACAAATCCTGTCATACTGATAATGTATCATGCCAGGAGAAAAATCCTTTTGGTCCATGGAGAACGCATTACTGGCTGAGAATGCAAATAGAAATAAAATACGAAGTGAAGAGGCCTAAAGTTCAACCAAGAAAGGAAAAGTGGGATGTTACTCTGTAGAAAAGCCTGTCTAAGCTGGATGACAAAGGCAGGAACCTTACCATCGCCGTTCACATCAATCCTGTCAAAGACTCGGTTGGTGAACTCTTCTGCACTCGTTTCATGGTCACCACCATTAATGGCTCGAATGGCCTGAAATAAAAGAGCAAGAGTAAGCAGCTGCCTGACGACTCCCAGACCGATTCCACATGTCAGCATTGATTCAAAACAAGACAGTCATGCCTGGTACCTTCCCCATACAAATGAACCAGTACCACAGGAAAACAAATCATCAGCCCTTATGGATGGCACTGAAGGGTGCCAAAAAGGGAGCATGGCTCTGGAGCACGGAATGAGCAGCAAAACTCAGAGGATTGGCCTAATTCTGCTTAGGTACAGTTTAGGTGATGCAGAAATGGCAGAATCAGAATCCACCTATTTGATCCACTTTGTCCCACTTTGTGACCCTATGGTACACCAAGCCTCAGAAACACTGTCAAACACTTTCCACAATTGACATTATGAAATTCCTTTGTTATATGCTGCGGTAATTTATTTCTATTCTTACTTTCACAATTTCCATTTATGTACTTCCTGTGTGTCTGGCTTCTCCCTAAAGGTCATTGGAAATTCATTTTCATCTTGAGAAACTTTAAGCTTTATCCACTTGTGTTTGCTACAATTCTTCTTATTCATAACTACATAGTGCAGGGTTCTCTTTTCTTTCAGTGCTAATTATTTCCTTTGTTTAAGGATATCCATGAAATATGTGATTTCAGAGCCCTTATACTGATTCTAAGACTATTTATTTTCTAGCTTTTACCCTTTGATATTTGGTCATTTTATTAATTCTTTTTCAAATGCTATTTTACTGAAACTTACATTATCTCAGCAATTTCCTAAGGTTACCAAAAAAGACACTGAACTACACCCAAAAAAGACAAAGGACAATAAATTTCTTGCCACCAGTTGTTGCCCCCAGAATTTGTTTCTCAAGAACTCTGTGTTAACTATTGCTATCTGTTGTTTCACTGTAATGTCTGAGTATTTCTATTTAAAGCTACTAGTAGGAAGCTGTACATTACTACAGGTATTGGTCAGGTCTCTTTGATACCCAGCTCTAAAATTCTTATACAGATGAGAGTGCATTATTAACATGCTATTAGTGCTTTATCAAATCAATTTTATGACATTTCATGTTCAGAAATGCTATTTATTGAAGGTAATTGAATCTTTCCTGCAATTACCTTGGTAATTTCCCATTATCTGCAAAATAATCTGAATTTGCAACACAATTAATTCTGAGATATATATAAAGATCTTTCTGCCCATAATCCCAGCCTCATCCACAATAGCTATTTGCATACAATCCTTTCAATTCTCAATCCTTTTTCTTCAGGCTGTTCGCCAGAGTCAGAAATGTTTTATTATGTTGATATTTCAGAACTGATTCTAAAAACCAAACTGGGAGTATCTCTTCAACTTCTCATGGGGAAAAGGACCCTCAAGATGAAGCACACATTGCAGAGATAGCAACAGACAGTCACAGGGTCTGAAACCTCGGAAAGTGCAATTAACAGGCAGGGAAAACAATTTTATGGTTAGCTATGTTGTAACATAAGCTGTGGTGATAAAGAGTCTAAGTCTGCTTATTGCATTGTACGGTGATGGGGAATTCTGCTCAGAGAAGGAATGCTTTTAAAGGTCTCATCCATGATCATCCACATGGGCAACAGCAAAGGTCTTACTTGTGTGATTTGTCTTTAAGGAAAGAGGCAAGAGCATAGACCCCTCGAGATTCACCTTGATGATGTTGAGCAGTTCATGTCGATCAATGCAGCCATTGCCATCTACATCATAAAGCTTGAAATACCACCGCAATTTCTGCTCCATCTTCCCTCGGAGAACGAGGCTGAGGGCAGCCACGTATTCCATGAAATCAATATATCCATCCTGCCAGAAAAAAACCCCAAATTGTGACAGGAGTAAACAGAGGGACTTAATGCACTGAAGTTGTTTCACCTTATTGCTCTTTAGATTCACAGCTGAAAGAGAAAGGCCAACAAGTGGCACAGAGACTTTGACTTAGGAAAAATCTTTAGTGCACAGACACATGTTATTTCTCTAGCTACTAAATACCTGGGTTGCTAAAGTTATGATCTAGTACATAGAGACTCCCCTCTGCTCACCACCTGCAGTGAAGGAACCTGGTTGTCAGCATGAACAAAGCCCCCTCTGTACACCAAAGCTGACTGCCTTTGGCCTGCTGGGAGAGAATATTGAGCCCAGCCCATGGGCTGCAGGTTTTCTGTACGAGTCTATTCTGCCTTTGTGAGAAACTGCTATTCCACAAAGCCACAGATCTCTTCTCCATTCTGTGGAAAATAATGTGACTGGGGATATTTTGTAAAATACACAGAGCATGATTTGATCACTGAAAAAAAAATGTTCAGTATTTAGGTTTTTAGTATTTCATTTCTTGACTCTACAAAGAAAGTCAAAAGGCTCTTGTTTCTTCTGCAAGAAAAATGCCAGTTAGTAAAGGTTCATCGGCCCTAGATTTAAAGCTGACTAAAATGTGAAGCTGTTAAAAACAAACTACAAATAAAAACATATCTACACATATCTAGGTCAAAGATTCTGAATAACAATAATTCTTCAAGAAATAACAGAGCAAAAAAAAAAGAAACTTTCAATTATTAAGGTATGTAATCAAAGTCAGATGCCTTTCTGAAATGGATGCAAAGAAACATTTGTAAAAGGTGAATGTAGGCAAACTAGCAGAGCACTGCTGTTTTGCAGTAAGGATCACCACATTTAAAATATTCATTCAGGGTGGGAAGAAGGGTTGACAGGCTGAGAGAGTCGTGGCTGGTCAGCCTGGAGAAGAGAAGGTTCCAGGGAGACTTTGGTGCCTCTTCCAGTACTTCAAAGGGGCTTAGAAAAAGGCTGGAGGGGTACTTTGGACAAGAGCTTGTAGTGATAGGACACAAGAAAAATGGCTTAAACTGAAGGTGGTAGATTTAGATTAGGTGTTAGGAGGGAATTTCTGGCTGTGGGTGCGGGCAGGCCCTGGCACAGAGCAGCCGTGGCTGCCCCTGGATCCCTGGCAGTGCCCAAGGCCAGGCCGGACAGGCCTCAGGCCTTGGAGCACCCTGGAATAGTGGAAGGTGTCTCTGCCCACGGCAGGGCTGGCACTGGGTGGTCATAAAGTCCCTTCTACCCAGAGCATTCCACGTCTCTATGACTCTGTGCTGCCCCTCCCTGCCATGCCAGCACTCAGAACCAGCCCCTCTGTGACAGCGGCCCTGGCCCGGGCACTGTGAGCACCACGAAGGCTGTGGGTGCTGTGGCAGTGGCCGCACTGGAGGTGACAGCTCTGCGCTGGCTCTGCCACCTGCGCTGGCGCCGATGGCTTTGCTGGGGCTGCTCGTGCTGCTGGCCCTGGCCGGGCCCGTGGAGGGCACCTGGGACACCTGCAGGTCAGTGGTCCCACTTAGGAGTTTCCCTGTAGGGGCCCCAAATGTTCCCCACACCCACACCGCAGTGTTCCGGCCTCACTCACTGCAGGAGGAGCCTTGGTTCCAGGCCAGTGCCCGGCTACTGGCACAACCTGTCTGGGGCTGCAGTAGCACGGGGGGACAGATGTGCCCCTCGGGGGTCCTGAGTCTTCCTGCCACTCAACACTGGGCAGGAAGGGATGAGAGAGGATGTTCAGCCTGAGTAGCAGCAGCCACCAAGCCAAACAGCGATGGCTTTGTGTTACAGAAGAACCTGCAGGCTCCGGCCCATGGCCTCTGACCACAGTTCCATGACTTCTGCTGCTGGCACGTCCCGTGAGGGTGACACCAGTATCCCCTCTGGGGCCTGGCCCAGCATCGTCAGCATCCAGGCCACCTGGGAGAACGGCACGTGGCACATGTGCACAGGTGTCCTCCTCAGCTCCCAGTGGGTGCTCACGGTGGCACACTGCTTCGCCAGGGCCGGGTAAGAGACAGCAGGGACAGAGATGTCCCCAGAGCACGGGCAGGTGCCCAGCTCACAGCACCATGGGCCACTCCCCTGCCCACCTGGGCAAGCAGAAGGCCGGGAAATGCTGGGCTGCTGCAGCCCGTGGCTCTGCTCCCTGTCACCCCTCTGTCCATCTGCTCCCCAGGGGCATCTCCACGTGGGACGTGGTGATTGGGGCCACAGATCTGACTCAGCCAGGCCCTGGGGCTGTGGTGAGACGCATCCAGAGGCTCCTGGTGCACCAGCACTACGTGGTTGCCACGGCCAGGAACGACATTGCCCTGGTGGAGCTGGACCAGCCCGTGGAGTGCAGCGACTACATCCAGCTGGCCTGTGTGCCTGACCCCTCACTCAGGGTCTCAGAGCTGAAATCCTGCTACATCGCCGGCTGGAACTTTGCCAGAGGTGAGTTCCCAACAGGATGTGTGCTCCCAGGGCGAGCTGGGTGCCCGAGGACACGGGCTGGGCACAGACACGGGCTGGGCACAGACAGGAACGTGGGCTGGATACCCGGGGACATGGGCTGGGCACCGACAGGGACATGGGCTTGGCACCCGGGGACAAAGGCTGGGCACCCCAGGGACACAGGCTGGGCACAGACATGGGCTTGGCACACACAGGGACACCAGGGACACGGGCTGGGCACAGACACGGGCTGGGCACACACAGGGACACGGGCTGGGCACAGACACAGGCTGGGCACACACAGGGACACGGGCTGGGCACAGACACGGGCTGGGCACAGACAGGGACATGGGCTGGGCACACCCAGGGACACGGGCTGGGCACAGACATGGGCTGGGCACACACAGGGACACGGGCTGGGCACAGACATGGACTGGGCACACACAGGGACACGGGCTGGGCACAGACACAGGCTGGGCACACACAGGGTCCGGCCGCACGGCGCCAGCGGGGCCGGGCTCGGAGCAGCTTGGGCTGGGGGAAGGAGTCTCCACCAAGACAGAGCATGGAACGGGATGAGCTGTAAGGTCCCTGCTCACCCAAACAATTCCTGCTGGCCCTGGGAAACCTCGGGGGTTTGGCCCCTTCCCCAGGCCAACAGCAGGGACACAGCTGGACAACATCACCTGTGGGGAAGGGGCAGGGACACAGCTGGACAATGTCACCCGTGGGGAAGGGACAGGGACACAGCTGGACAACATCGCCTGTGGGGAAGGGGCAGGGACACAGCTGGACAATGTCACCCGTGGGGAAGGGGCAGGGACACAGCTGGACAACATCACCAGTGGGGAAGGGGCAGGGACACAGCTGGACAACATCACCCGTGGGGAAGGGGCAGGGACACAGCTGGACAATGTCACCCATGGGGAAGGAGCAGGGACACAGTTGGACAATGTCGTTCCGTGGGGAAGGGGCAGGGACACAGCTGGACAATGTCACCCATGGGGAAGGGACAGAGACACAGTCGGACAATGTTGTTCCGTGGGGAAGGGGCAGAGCCAGGCCCGGGAAGGGGACTCACCCTAAGCAGGGGAAGGGATGGGTACCGAGCTGCTGGGGCTCATTCCCCTCTGTGCCCACAGCTCAGGGAACAGGCATGGTGCTGCAGGAGGCCAAGGTTCACCTCATGGACACCGAGCTCTGCAACAGCAGCCGGTGGTACGCGGGGGCCATCCACCCCCGCAACCTGTGTGCTGGGTACCCACAGGGTGGCATCGACACCTGCCAGGTAGGAGCGTGTGATGAGTCCCTCAGCCCCCGGCAGCACAGGGACCCCCTCATCCCCCACGCGCAGCCCAGCCTGTCCCCTGTCCGCCCTTCCCCTCCCCACATCAGCCCCCCACAGTCCCTGAACCATCTCTCCCGGCACAGGGGGACAGCGGGGGTCCCCTCGTCTGCAAGGACAATGCAGCTGACTACTACTGGCTGGTGGGATTGAACAGCTGGGGAAGAGGCTGTGACAGAGCCAGGCACCCCGGGATCTACACCTCCACTCAGCACTTCTACAACTGGATCCTGCTCCAGACGGGCCTGAGCCCAGCAGAAAGAGCTGGTCCAGCACTGGAGCCACCTGTCACCTCGGCCCCTGAGAAGGAGGCTGAGGAACCAGAGGAACCAGAGCCACCAGAGGAACCAGAGCAACCAGAGGAAGAGATCAGCTTCACCCCTGAGTACAACGAGAAACCAGCAGTGACATCCTTGGGCACGTCACTGCCCATGGCATTCCCACACCAGATCCTGGTGCAATTCTGGAATCTGGTGCAGGAGTTCCTGCAGTTTTAGAAGGACAAAAAAGCCTGAGCAGCAGCAGGATGAGCAGGATCCAGGGCTACAGTGGATCACGGCAGCTCCAAGGCAGCCTTGGGGCCAGAGGCTTCTCTGTCCTGCCCCCGCTGCTGCGCTGCAGCCACAGCGATGCTGACGTGACTGAGGTGTTGAAGTAAAGTTTCTGTGTTCACCATTACCTGTGTGTTCAGCCCTGCTCAGTGCACCCGCAGGCTTGCAGAGTCCCTGCTCTGTCTGTCCATCTGCTGTGCTGTTCACATTCATTCTTCAGCCTGGAGAGGGCTCCAGGGAAACCTCAGTGCCCCTCGTATTGAAGCAGGTTATAATAGCGGGGGAGAGTGGCTTTTTGCATGGGCAGGCCATGACAGGACAAGGAGGAATGGGTTAAACCTAGAGGAGGGGAGATTGGGATGAGGTGCTGGAAAGGAGTTTCTACTCAGGGGGTGGTGAGGCCCTGGCCCATGAAGTGTCCAAAGCCAGCTTGGACAGGGCTTGGAGCAACCTCGGATAATGGCAGGTGTCCCTGCCCATGGGAGGTGGTAGAATGAGATGACCCTTAAGGTCCCTTCCAAAACAAACCATTCTATAATGCTACAACTGCAATTTATAAAAGAAGAATATTGAAAATTTATCCTCTTCATCATCATCAAAGTTTTCAAAATCTGAGGATCCAGAGGGCAGATGATTCCATCCATCATGTCTGTATTATGACAGGGTGGATTTTCCTCTGGGTGCTCTTGTTCCTTGCCCTTGTTCATAGAAGGATCTTAGATTAAGTGACTAACTGTTAACAGACTAAGACTAACTTGGTCCATTGCCACTAGTTGCCACAATTTTACTTCATTCCTCCTGAGATCACTATCACTTTATTTAGATTGTAGATTTTCTGACTAAATTTGAATTTGAGAACCTTCCTATAGCATTGTTTACTGCATAACACAGGGCTCACAGGAGAACTCTGGAATGCACAACATCATTGAATAAATTTTAAATTCCTTTAACATCCCAAGAAGGGAGAGAGGTGAAGTAAAAGAAAGACTTGTGCAACAGCTGAAAGGTTTTGCTTTACCTTATGAAACTGCTTCTCATCACTATTATCATCCTGGGCACAGAGGACTTTGGGATGAGAAAAGATATTCTTTGAGGTCTACAGTTATCTACTGTCATTACATCCACCAAAAGACCTCAGCTACCCTAATGGAGCCTGTCTGCTGTTCTGCTTAAGAATTTTATAATATTCCTAAGCATTCCTTAACTCCTTATGCTGTCTGACATGTCCAAAATAACATTCTTTGTTGGTCCCTAGGCTTTCCTTCTTCAAGACTAACTCCGTGATTTCCCACCTGGTTGTCATGCCTCTGTGACTGAATCCTCCTTGACTCCATTTCAGAACCTTGGAGCAGAGAGTAAAGCTGAATTTTCCCAGGATGCTATAAATCCAGATTCCTTTGTCATTAGGAATACAGGCCTGCAGGCACAGGCTGTAATACGTATGGATAAAAAGCAGGCAAAAGTAAGGGCCATGGCACACTTAAAGGAATTATGGGGGCTACTGTTTTCTACCAGCAGTCACCCGTCACAGTGAGGAGCACTGCCCACCCCCTCACTCCAGCTTCATGCTGCACCTACCAAGGAAAGCCTCAGACTTTGTCTGCCCATGCAGTGTTAATTGCAGCTGCCAAATACCTGGAAATTATTCCTCTGTGAATGCTATAATGATTTCTACTGTGTCTGATTCCTGTGGTCTCCGTGATCTCATACAGCTACATTTTTGAACAATAAGAACACGCAAGAACGTAAGAAGAATAATGAAATTAGCATTTTGCTAGTTAAACAAGGCCAAGTCAAATAACTGGCAGTAAGGAATTTTCAAAATTCAAATATGAACTTGCACAAGGTAGTTAGATAATCAGGTGTACTTATGTTTATGTAATCTGTGTTATTACCTGTACACATTCATTTGTTCCTTACATTTAGCTACTTTACATAAGCATCCCTTGGCAGCTTTCCCCACCAGTGTTTGCAAGAGCAAATGTTTGCAAGAGAATATTTGTGTTCTTTATGTTTGCAAGAGAAAGACAAAGACTCTGAAAGTGCAGGAGTTGGATCACTTCTAAGCAGCACGAGACAGTTAATTCCTTTTGGAGAACTCACCTTGTTCATATCGAACGTGCGGAACATCTGCTCAATGTACTTATTGGCCTCTGGATCCAGCCCTCGAAGTCCAAAGAACTGCTTAAATTCATGCTCCGTCAGCTGTCCAGAAGGACATTCTGTCATGAATTTTTTGTACCAGTGGTGGATCTCGACAGCTTGCAGATCGTCCACGGTGGAGCTGCTGTTGTTTCCCATGTGTATCTGTGGTCAGAAAGATGATGCTACAGGAATGATCCTCTTCCTCCTGTGGCTCTCACAGCACTGCCCGTTTGCTCCTGTCCATGCTCAACACCAATGTCAGTTACGTGAGGGATCTAACCTTCCACAAGCCAATTATAAACGTTAATCTTCTTAGAGGCTGATCCACAAACCAGAAAGTTTCAATGATACAAACACTCTTCTTAGAATGGAAAGGAGATGCAAGGTAATCTAGCAAATCGCTGCTATTTTAGGAGCTAAAGCAGAAAGGGTGAGAAGGTTAATCAGACACTGGCATTGGTGTGGTAGACTACCCTATTTTTAACCTTGATATAATTATACGTGAAGATAAGAGGAAATGCCCATAAGTTGTGGGCTGTGAGGTTAAGTAAAGATCTTCTCCTCTAAGTGGATTTGAGAGTCTGTTTTCTCAAATAGACGTGTTGAATAACAGAGTGTGTAGGACCAGAAAGTGTTACAGAAGTGGCCCAGTACAAGAGTGAGGTTATGTGGGAAAAAGCTCACCTCCATGCACACAAAGGAGCACAGAGGAACAATGCAGGAGGACACAACCTCCTGGTCTGGCAAATCCAACAACCATCACCGAAGTGCAGCCAACCCATAAAAGGCTCAACTGCACAAAGGAGAAGGAGTGGAGAGACAACCACAAGCTGGGGAACACAAATTACCCAGTAAGAGAAATAAAGGCCCTGTCCCAGCTCCTTCTACATCTGTTGCAGGGGAGGCACCAGTGCCACCAGGCCCAGAGGCGGCACTCACCATGATGGGTCAGCAGGAGAGGTTGCAGAGGACTCTGCAAACTGAGTACTGCCTGTACGCATGGAAAACACCGTGTGTCCAGGGCAGGAGCACCTGGGGACAAGACTCACAACAGGATGTTTAGGAGGGGAAAAGAAAGTGGGAAAGGGATGGGTCTAGGTGGTATGGGAATGAACACGCACGAAAAAATGGAGGCAAGGGGAACAGAAGGGTCTGGTTGCATGTAGAATGGTGCTAATCTGTATGAATGTGTATCCATCCCTTGGGCCTGGTCATCACAGTCTTTCTTGTCTCCTAACACTTCTACCTCCTTTTTTCTTTTTTTGGCTGCACAGCACTGTGGTCTGGGCATATGTATGCATGGGGATTTAAGCGCCCACAACTGGATTGAGTGAGATTATGTTAGTCCATGATCACTAGTAAATATCAAGCCAGGCTAGGCAGCAAATAGGCCAAACAGCTCATGAGACAGGTGTAGGTATCTCTGTTAGTGAGACCACTGGAGTAGTTGACCATTAAACTGAGTGTGCAGGGTTGAGGGTGACCCACCTGTCTGTGTTTCTCTGCATCCTGAGCACCCCCTCACAGGAACTCAAGGGGTGCCCAGTGTCCGTGTCTGTCTGCAGGTTGTTGTGTGCATGGGAATCTGTTCTGGTGCTGTGGCAGGGCTGTGCACCTGGCAGGGCCCGGCGTGTCCAAATGCCAGCAGCTGGGGAGACCAGGCATCGAAAAACAGCTGTGGGTAGGCTGGATGTCTAAGCCCACACACTCTCTGTGCTTCCCACTGATGGACCTTCACAGAATCACAGAACAGTTATGGTTGAAGAGTCCTTAAAAATCATCTGATTACAGCCCTCACCATGGGCAGAAACACCTTCCCCCAAAGCAGGTAACTGGAGCCTAGGCTCCCTTGCTTCCTGTGCTGCTTTTGATGGAGCTCAGACTGCAATTGGCTGGGAGTGCACGTTGCTGGCCCACATGCAGTTTTTCACTCCCCAAGACTCCCAAGTCCTTCTCCACAGGACTGCTCCCAGTTGACTCACCACTCAGCCCATACCCGTGTCGGGGATTGCGCCTGGCCTTGTCAAACTTCATGAGTTGGCATGGGCCCTTCTCTCTGGCCTGTCCAGATCCTTCTGGATGCCTTAACCCCTTCCCTATAGAATATCAGTCACACCACTTAACATACACATTTAAAGCCAAAACTTATTTTTAGTATTATAGAAATTTTAACAGTCTGACTTGGGAGTCATAATAAATCTACATCTAATTACAGAAAAGCAAAGAAAAATAATGTAGGTCAAGTACTTATACAAAGAAAAAAGCTGCACTAGTAGCAATAATCCAATTAAAATAGCAACACATGCACTTTGTTTCTGTGCTTTCTCCGATGTTACGCTGACCTGCCTGCTGCTTCTCTGGGTATTAAGATCTGTGGTTTACTTGGATCTTTGCAGCGGAGGAAGGGAGAGTCACGGGAAGTTGTCAGCATCTGGATCCTTCACTGGGAGAAATGTGATGTTCTTGTGAATGGTTTTAATGATTTTCTCATCCTCCTTTCTTTTTTCTTTTTTTCTCTCTTCCCTTTCCTTCCACTTAGACTTACAAAGGTACGTGTTAGAGTTGCAAATATCTCATTCTCCCTAAAATAACTGCTTGCTGTTACTACCAATATAAGCCCATGGTTGAACCACACAAAGATAGCTAAGTTAAATAAATTAGCCATAGATACCTGGAGAGATTGCTCTCACAGCTTGAGTGAACAAAGTGAAATTAACAAAATGAGCAAAGCTGCAGGCAGGGCATGAAATGAAGAATTCAGAGCACACCTGGCAAGCTTTGGTCCTGAGGCCTTGTAAGTAGGGACAGAGCCCATGGCCATGGCAGGTCATTGCCACACCAGCGGTGCCATCAGAAACAGGGACACAGCCATGTGCACGCACAGTAAGGATGGCCGGGGGGCAAGGACACTGTGCTGCTCCGGCCCCTGAAATCTTGTCCTACATCTGGCTGGGGGCAACCTCTGGTACCAGCACAGACCAGGAAGGGAACGGACCAAGAGTTCTGAGAAGGAAAACAAGACTGGACAGGGGCTGGCAGTGCGCACATGCCCAGCAGCACGGGCAGCAGGTGAGGGGAGAATTCTGTCCCTCTGCCCCACTCAGGTGAGACCCCCCTTGCAGAGCTCTCTCCGGCCCCGGAACCCTCAGAACAAGGCACATCTGGAGGTGCCGAAGGAGGTGCGGTGGAGGCCACGGACCTGCTCCAAGGGCTGGAGCCCCTCTGCTCTGGAGACGGGCTGGGAGAGCTGGGGAGTTCAGCCTGGAGAACAGAAGGCTCCGGAGAGACCTTATTGCAGCCTATCAGCATCTAAAAATATTTTTATGTCGAGAGCAGGGAACAGCAGCGCCCATTTGCACGAGCGCAGCCTCGGATCGGACATCTCCGGAAGATCTCAAGGCCAGATTGAAGAGGGCTTGGAGCAACCCGGCCCGGCGGCAGGTGCCCGTGGCAAGGGGGTGGGACTGGATCCTCCGTAAAGGGACGTTCCGACCGAACCACCGCACACGGCCCCCGCCGATCCCCGCCGACAACGAGCGGCGACGAGAATCTCTGCGGCCCCGCCCCCCGAGGCCCCGCCCCGCAGCCCCGCCTCCACGCGGCCCCGCCCCCAGGGGCCACGCCTCCCTGAGGAACCGCCCTGCGGCCCCGCCCCCGTCGGCCAGCGGCCAGTGCGAGCCTCCGTCTCACCAACACCGCCCATCCGGCCCGAAACGCCGCAACTGATTGGTCGCTGCCTTGTTATTGGGCGGGAACCCACAGCGTCCTCGGGATTGGTCACTTTGTGCCATGTTGCAGGATAACCATGGCGCCGAGGCAGCTGCTCCGTCACGATTGCCTGGCGGTCCCGTCTATCTTTCAACCGCGGCAGCTGATTGGTCCCTCTGCCTCGGGGGCGGGGCCCGCGGAGGCGGAAGTGGCGGCGGCGCGTTCCGGTGCTGATGTGGCGCGGCAGAGCGCTCCGGTGGCGGCGGGAGCTCCTCGGCGGGTTCGAGCCGCTCCTCGGCGCTGCCCTCTTGCCGTGCTGCAGGTCAGTGCCTCCCCTGCCCCGGGTGCTCTCCGCCTGCTCTGCGCGGACCGCGGGCTCTGCCGCCCAGCTCTCGGCGGCAGTCGCTGGTCGGGCTCCTTTCGTGGCCGTGCGCGGCCGGGACGGGTTCGCAGCCCCCCGGGGCCGTAAGGGGTAGTGGGCCGGGGCGAGCCTCTCTTCTGGGCTTTGCGTCCCGGCCCCGTGTCCCCACGGCCGTGGGACGCTGGCGGCGGTGCCGGCAGGTGCCGGGAGCGCAGCCCGGCCGGGGCGGTTCGCGTGCGCTCCGGTACATCTGCGGGGCCGCCGGGGCCCGTCGGCGCTGCCCGCTGTCCCCGCTGCCGGAACAGCACGGCGCTCCAGTGCTGCCCGTCCCTCCCGGCTTTCCTTGCAACCCCTCCGCACAGCGGGAGAAGTTTGGCCCAGGGCTTGTACAGCAGCAGTGCTTTTAATGCGTGTTTGATTTTAAATGAAGGGAAATAGGAGGAATTAACTTCATTTTTGTATAATAAACTTATAGTATAATAAATTAGGGAAGAATATTGTCAAGTTTTTCTTTGCTGTGGCTGATACGTAGACATAGAAGTGTGCTGCTTAATGCAGGTTGTGCAAACTAGCAGTGGGCTTTGAGTGTTTGGGTCAGCGATGTGTATTTCAGAGAAAAGCAGCCTCCTCCACATCACTGCTGGTCTGTAGTTCCAGTGTTTAAAGCAAAGTTTCCCCTGCAAAAGTTCATTAGTCAGAGGAAGGCTGAGCAAAGGTAGAGGATGTAAAGGATCCTGGCTCACATCCTGAGCACTGCGAGGCTCCTTGTGTTCTGCTGTTCATTACAGAAGTGGGAATCCATAGGTGGTGAATCCAGGTGTGAGCCTGGGAGAGCACCAGCCTTGTCTCTGAGGGCACTGTTTGCTTTATTGGGGCGAGGCAGTGGAACACGGAAAAACCTCTGTGCTTTCGTGTTTGCAATTGTACAACACCAGGTTATTCCTGCCTTGAGGCTGATGCGCAAGCCAGCCACCGCCTCCTGTGCAGGCTGTTGGCTTTGGGACCATTTAAAGCCGTGTTATGCCTGTTCCTGGTTTTGTTCTCAGGGAGGGCTCAGAGAAGGCAGAGCCAGGCTCTTTGCAGTGGTGTCTGGTGAAAGGATGAGACGTTGTGAGCATGACCTGAGACACAGGTGATTACCTTGAACATCAGAAAATACTTCTTCACTCTGTGGCTTACTGAGCACTGGCACAGGTTGTCCAGGGAAGTTGTGAAGCCTCTATCCTTGGAGATATTCAGAAGCTGCCTGCACAGCTTCTGTTTGCAGGGAGCAGGGAGCTTAGACCAGATGACCTCCTAACTTCAGCCAGTCTGTTCTTTGATAAGATTCTCCTCGAGCCTTTTATTTATTCATTTATGTTTATTTATGTTGTCCTCAACTGAATTTTCTCCAACAAGCTCACACCTCTTGTTGTGGGGTGCCCAGAACAGGACACATGACTCCAGACACGGCCTCACCAGTGGCAGAGAGGAAGGATTACCTTCCTCGTGCTGCAGCCCAGGGTGCTGCTGCTGGGCTCTGTCACGAGCGTGCATTGGTGGCCTAGCTCAGCTGTCCACCGCAATCCCCAGCCTCTCTACAGTGCTGCTTTCAGAGATGGGGTCCAAGGGATGCTCTCCAGAGCAGTGGCCCACCTAGGCCTGTGTTTTCCCTATTTCTTCTACACAGACAGCAAACCTGTTGCTGTTTGCAGAATTGTAGAATCACTGTTTGTTTCCCATTCACATCCCTTGCCATATCTGGCTGACCCGAGAATGTAAATTAAAAATTAATTCAAAAGACACGAATTTCTAAGGCTGGAGTTCAGGTTGTTAATGTCCACATCCGTGCAAATAGGTGCAGGTGGTTCCTCTGTTTGTGTTTTTAAGGTGATCAGCTGTGAGCCAAACCCAGCAAGGCTCACTAGCTTGAGGGCGGTGTCAGGTTAACGTGGCCAACCTGGACAAATGCCAAGAAACATTTTCTCAGTCCAGGTATGCATGCCTGAAACTGTAGTGCTTGTAGCAAGGAGATAAGTGCCCAAGCCCATGTACATGCCTAGATTTTGCTTCTTTTTTGTATTTCTAATACCACTTCTAATAATTCATCTATTGGTTCTCTTGGTCCCAGCCACATATTTTGCATTTCTGACTTTAAGAGGCTGTGGCCTAATGCTCAGTTGGAAGATCAGACCCATCCTCTTCAAGTGTTGGAGACAGTTAGAAAGAGGCGTTCTTGCATTTGGATGGCTCTTTCCTAAAATGCATCATTGCCAGGACAGCAGGTTCAGTTCCTCACTGGGGCATCGTGGGAGTGATGGTTTACAGAACTATAAATACTTTATTGTTCTTACGATGGATTCCAGACGTTCCGGGTCTCCACATGAGTGTCTCGTTACCGCATTGGTGAGCAGTTGATGTTGCCAGAAGAAATCTCCCTGGCAGGAGCTGTGAAGCTGTACTGTTCTGGAATTGCATGCCTCACGTTTCGCCCAGGGCCAGCTGAGAAGTGAGCAAAGCACCAGGACTTGTTTCAGTGGCTGCTGTGTTGTTGCAGAACATGAGCAGCCCTGGCATTTGGACTGTGCTTCTGGAGGAGTTGCATCTGAGCTCTTTGCAGGAGCCTGCCTTAGGCCTGGCCTCTTGCTGCATGTCTTTTTGCTACACTAACTTGCTGGAGTGTTCTGTTCCCTGGGCTGAAGAGCCTAAGCTCATGCTATGTATGCAGTGTGAGAAACCAGGGCATGTCTGCAAATCCATGTTCCCAAACAGAGCAGACTTGTCTCACTTTTCATGTGTATTTCAAGTGACTGACTAACAGTCCGGGAGTGTACTGTGTAGGATGAAGGATGAACTTACTTATTTCTTTATTATTGGATAATTTATTTTTTTTGGTTTTGTTCTTTTTTGCTTCTCTCTCCATCAAAAGTCTTGGTTCATGCAACCTGTCAGTACTCAAGAGATAATAAAGAATGGCAAGAAAGACCTCTGTGTGACTGCTCTACCTTGGAAACACTACTATTGAATCAGGAGACCCATGAGCTCCTTGGAGTACAAAGCAGGTTAGTATTCATATGCTCTTTTCTGCTCTTGATGCATGACAAGGTGCAGTGTCATGTTTTCTACTTGTGCAAGATCAGCTGACTGCTGCAGATGAGTAGTGAGCTGCTCCTTTCCAGTGTCAATATTTCCACACATTTAAGTGGCAATTTAGGACCAAAGATTTGCTTAGTAAGACAAAGGAGGTCAGGAATGAGTGGATCTGTGTAGCCAGCTTCAGGAGCCTGTTTCTAGTGAGGCAGTGACATCATATTAAAAGATTCAATTTGATGGAGATAATTTGAATAATGTAAACTTGATCTTATAGCTAATATGAGTTTGCCTAGTTTCAGCTTGCAATACTGGAGCTTCTGTAATTGTACAAATTATTTTGCCACTTACTGGCATGGACAGTTCTGTGGCCTTTGTTCAGAGATGTCAAAAGTCACATGTGACCTCTTTATAGAACACTAGAATGATGATTCTGTGATTCTCAAGGGACTTTGGGAGTTCAGTTGGTCAAATCCTTGGCTCTCAGCATGTCTAACATCAAAAATGAGATCAGAATGCTATGAGCCTAATATAGAATAATAACTTCTTCTCTGTGCGTTTTTTCTGATTGAAATTGCCTATGCTGTGACTTGTGTCCTCTGCCTCGTGTCCATCCTATGTGGACCTTGTAAGAGGTGTGTGACTCTCTCTGTAGTTACCTTATGAGTCCCTGTAGGGAGGACAGCAATTGTATGCTACTCCTCACCTGCTGTTGTCAGGGCTGAGCAAGCCCAACACTCATTCACTCCCCACATGCCTTGTAAAGCAAGCCCCAGTCAGTCATCCTAGGGCCTCTCTGCTGTACTTGATTCACTGTTTTGAAAGTGGGCACTCTACTTCAAATGTAGTCTTACCGGTGTGAATAGAGAGGAATAATGGCTTTTCTTAACCGGCTGCCTGCAGTCCTGCCAGAACAGCTCAGTGTGCACCTGACCTTTTCTGTGAGTGCACTGGTGGCTTTGGCTTGGCCATCAGCACTTGGAGCTTGTCTTCTGCAGCACACTTGTGCAGCCAGCTGCTCCTCAGCCTGTGCCACTTATGCTTTTCCCATTCCAGGAACAGGAAAGGCATTCTACCTTTCCTGAACTTCACAATGTTTCTATCCATCTGTTTCTCCAGCCTGTTGTTATCCTCCTGATTGGCAACTCTATACAAAGGCTCATTTGAATTTGGTGAATTTAGTGAGGTCTCAGTTAATAATGGAGAATTTAATTTACTGCTCTCCCCAAAATGACAAATTATATGTTGCTGGCTGGTACTGCTGCGTGTTTTTTGGTTCTTCACTTCCACTTGCTGGATTAGTTTGACTCCTGAACTTCAAGGAAATGAAAGGTATGCTTAGCAGCAGCCAGTGAATCTATGTTCTCTCTGGACTATTCCCCTATGTTGAGGTCCTGTCCTGTATGTGACAGGCAGAGGTCTCATCATCTCTCCAATGTGACACATTTGTATCTGTTTAGCAAACATCAAGGCTCAGTCCATTATTTCCACTACTTATCAGCAGAAAGCTGATTTTATATGTTACAGGCCATGTTTGGCCTGTAGAGAAATGACATCATTTAACAATCACCTTTCTTTTCAGTAAACTGAACAGATTGTGGTTCTGTAATGTCATTGTTCATAAAAATCAAGAAGGAGCTATGAGGATGACTTGGCATCTGGTATAAAAGTGTATTTTTCAATCATACATGTGGAGCAGTGAAGGAATCTTCATGTTCTTGACACCAGCACATCCTCTGCTTTAATATTCAGAGGGTCTGGCAGCTCCTGTTAACATGACCATTTCTTTTTTCCTGAAGTTTTACTTCAGCTTTTCTCTGTCTTAGCATAGGAGACAAATTCCTACAAGCGTGGTCACCAACTGCTCTAACATTAGAGACCGGCATAAAGGAGCTTATTCTTCATAGCAGCTTTGACTCTGTATTCTGACTCTTGGTTTTGTTTTAGGCTCAAGATGCTGAGCCGTTTGTCAGGTTTAGCAAGTACTGTTTTACAAGAGCTGTCTGGGGATGATGGAGATGCAGTTACTGAACCATCTATTGCTGTAAGTACGGTGCTATCTAAAGACTTTTAGATCTTATTGACAATTAGTTTGGGGACCCTGGTTCATTAGACTGCAGTGAGAACTGACTCCTGCTTCTTCCTTGCTGAGCACTAGACTGAGCTGTCATTCCACTCTGCTTTTCTTCTACTCCTCACCTCTTAAGTCAGCATTTCTGTTGGGCAGACCATAATCTCCTCAGTTTCCACATCTCAGCGTGATCCGAGGAAACAAACTAGAATTCGGGTGAAGAAAAATTTTTAAGAGTACTGGTAATTGTGTCCGGCAGAAGGGGAAGCTCTGCATGGTTGGGTCATAGTGGGAGGCTTCATCTTTGTGCTGCCCTTTGGTATTGGGACCGTGGACAGTGTGTGAGGGTCCCTCTCATTTCAGATTTGTTCATGTGGTGTTCAGCAAGGTACTCTTTGTGTGATGGCTTAAAAGTTCTAAAGTTCTCTGAGTTTCCTCCTGGTTTCATCTAACTGTATATTTCTACAGGCTTCATGAAATGCCTGCAGGGAGCAGAGTGCAGCACTGAGGACTGGAGCTGAAGCTATCATGTGGATGCCCTGCTGCAGGTTGTTAATAGGGTTTTTTTTCCTTCAGAGCACTGATTTTATTGTTTCAGGTAGAAGCTGTGCAGTCAGAAGCAGAAGGCATGGAAGAGGCACCTGAGGAGGTGTTGGAGCGCCTAGCCCAAACAGAAAAGCTGGTTGTTCAGCTGAAGGATTTGATTCGAGAAAAGGATGCCCTGCTCCTGGAAAAAGAAACTGTGCTGAAGGTACCATTTCTTTCTCTGAGGACCAAGAGTAAAATGCTGCTTCAGTCTTCTGTGCAAGCCTGTCTCTGGTTTCTTTTGAACGTGAGATACCTGCGTGACAAATGGTATCAGTTCCTGAGAAATATTGGAATTTGAATAATGGACGACCCTAAGAGATGTAGGATATCATCTGTTAGTTTGCTTGGGTTAATTTAGACTACAGTAGATAAGTTGCATCCAAATTACACAGCATTTTTTCTCGGAGCCCTTTGAGCCCCATGCAGATTCCCAGTGGCTCTAATAAGTACTAATATCTTGTGTGAGGTTGTTCTTTCCCCACTTCAGCGTGTTTGACACATAGAAACCTGTGCTGCGCTCATCCACTGGCCCGGTGGTTTCATGAGGCATTCCCAAAGACAGTTGTTGTCCACCCTGAGGTGTGGTGGGAGTGTGGTTACTTGAGATAGTTCTGAGGGACTGCATGTAGCAGAGAAAGTCAAACCGAGTTTGTATTCACTGCTGAGTGAAGTCCCTGAGTGCTCTGTCCTTTGGAAGGAAGTGCTGGTAGAAGCACAGTGTTGGGATGTGTGGTGTTTCAGAACAAATTTGGTTTGCAGATGTGTTTTAGATAGTGCTGTTACTGGGCAGGCAGGGTTAAACAGAATACGGCAGGCTGACAAACCGTGTAGCTTTCTCAAAGTGGTGCTTCTTGGGTAGCAGCACTGGAGCCAGGGCAGTCAGTTTGTGTCCTTCTCTTCCAGAAAGAGCGAGAGGCCGCGGATGCCAAGGTGATGAAACTGAAACTTCAAGCCAAAGCCAAACTGGCCTCTCTGAACAAACGCATCGAGGAACTGACCGAGAAAGGAGCGCCACTGCCTGCACAGGCCTCAGCAGCAGAGCTGGAGGATCCCAAGGTTAGGAGAAGGGGGCTATTTAAAAGATGTAGCTTCTACTGATAACCTGGTACTGCCTGATATTTCAGGTCACAGTGACTCAGCAGGGTCTATTTGTCTTACTAGCAGGATGTTCGTAATTCCAGCAAGGATGTCTGTACCTGTGCTCTAGGAAGCCTGTCTGTCTAGCTTCCTTGTACTGCAGATGCCCTTGCAGGGCTCAGCTTGATCTCCTCAAGGTCATGGGCTGGTTTCCCCCTGCATGACTTTGGAAATCCATTGTAGCTGAACTCTTTCCTGCAGAAACTGTATGTCTGTCTGAGCTATGAGTTTCAAAATGTTGCCTGTCATGTCAGTACAGCAAAGGTTGGCTGGTGTACAAAAACAAACAGGTAAGGAGGTCGTTGAAACTGAAGGCAGTAACTTTAATATAAAAAAATAAATATAAATTTTTTTGAGTTGTGTAGCTTCCTGAGCTACCATAAAGCTTTATGGCTGACAGACCATAATTGTGTAACGCTAGGTAAAACTGGGGGAAAAGTGTCCTCTTTGAAGACATTGTAGAGGCTGTTAGCTACTAACTAGAAGCTCCCACTGGAGCTGGTAATTTTTGAAAACTTGACTATGTGATCAGGAGAACAATGTTTTCTTTAAAAAGTTTGTAATATTATGGAAGAGAAATGGGATAGATGTCCAGAATGGTTTCCAGGCATCAGATGATGTTCATTAAACCAGAGAACATAAAAGCTATTTCTGACATTGAAAAAAATATTAAAATATTGTAGGGAACAATAAAAGGTGCCTGTGAGAGCTGTCGGATGAGAGGCGACTGCTAATGAAGATCAGTTCTATGACTTGTGCTGACTATTTTTGATTGAGAGCATCATAAAATCATAGAAATGTACTTCTGTAATTCCCAGTACCAACTTGAGAGCCTTTCTCAATGCAAAGCACCATCTGGTTTCATACATGAAGAATTGGATAATGTCAAGGATTGCCATAATAGAAAAATGAAGCAAAATTTAACCAGTGCACAGTCAACATCCATGTAACATCCATGTGCTGTTACACGACTTTGTGCAGACTTGCTGTTGAGGAGTGGTGAGTGTTCTTGCTTCAAAATTCAAATTTATCAGTTGAAGAAGGCAAAATGAGAGAAAGCTGATCATCAGTTAATTGGTGCAATATAGATTTTAAAAAGAGACCTTGTCTTTTTTACATACCGTTCTAGCTATTCTACTGAGAGTCGCAAGGCCTTGTGTGCAGTGTTGTCATGTTCTGCTCATTTGGAATCAGGAAAGATAAATTCTGAGAGCAGCAAGAGAGTTTTTGTTCTCCCATCATGTTAGTAGCTGCACTTGGGAGACATTCGAACAGCTTGGTTACTTAGTCAACCAAAGTCAGAGCGGAAATGTCATTTCTCTCTACAGCTGTAGGAGGAAGGTGAGCTTCAAGAAAGTGGACAAACTGTAAAAGGATAATGCAGATGAATGTAAATTAGCCATTAAGAAAAATGGCCTTCCAATTAGAGGAATGAGGGCTTGAGACAGTCTCCGGTGGACATGGTATGGTCCACAGCCTTATTTGGTTTGGGTTAGAATATAGTTTGAGTGAAATTATGTTAGGGCAGTTACCTGCAATATTTTGTATTTGACTCAGAAAGCACTAGCTTCTTTCTTGCAAGGTTAGACCTACTGAGAAAATACAGAGTCCTTTATTTAAACTTATTTCTCCAAGTAGATGCTGTCCTGAGTAATGGGGCTATTTCCTAGACAGCTGCCCTCCCATTTGAAGGTGAAAATTCTAGGTTAGAGTTGCATCTTATGCTGAAGTATTGAATATTACCAAAGGACTGTGTTTTTTCTCTCAGTGATGTGGGCCCTGTGGGAAGGCTGTATTTTAAATATCTAACAAGTACTATTACTTCCTGGGCTTTTAGCAGAGTGACTTATTTTGAGAAGAATGGAAATATCATCTTATCTCCTCCTCTCAGATAGTATTTGTGTACAGGACAATTGAGGCTCCTCTCAAACTTTTGAAGTGGGTAAAGACAAATTATGTTCAGATATAAGAACTTGCACATCTTGAAAAACATAGTATTTAAAAGCTTGAGCTCTTTGTGGCTGTGCTACTGTCCTTACGTGTGGCACTTCATGTAATGGTCAGTGTAAGAGGCTTTTTAAAATCCAACTGTGAGTATCAATCCTGAAAGCCAATTACAAGTAAGCAAACTAATCCAGCTGTCTTCCCCCAGCAGCTCCTCTGCCCCAGGCTTACAAGTTATGTATATCCTGGCTTCTTAGAGCTTCCTGCATCTCTATTCTTTATTTTTCTGTCTTGTTCTATTTCTAAATTTAAGTGCAAATGAAGCTTCTTTGTCTGTCTGTTCTGTCTCCTGCCAATGACTTTCTCTGTAGGTGAAACAGCTTTTGAGGAGCAGTAGCCTCTTACCCTAATTACACTAATGTATAAGTACTTTTAAAAGCCTTCATGGTATTTTCAGATTGGGTTTAAAGACATAAATACTCTGTAGAATTCCTGTGTTATCGATGGTGTTTGACCCAATACCTGCCACAAATAAAAAGTGGAAGAGATGTATTTTATATATATTGAGTACAAAATACCCAGCACTGTGTGCTGGCAGTAGCTGGAAGTGCTGAGATAAGAATGCAGAGCAGGTTTTGTCTGCTCAGGGACAGGTGGGGAGGGACCTGCCCTCACCCAGCTGGAGAGGCAGAGAGAAGAGTGCAGGTGTAGTGTGCTGGGTTGTCTGAGTCAACACAGCCTAAGCACATTTTATGTGAACAGTTCTTTACATTTCTTGGTCGTAAACAGAGGATTTAAGTGGAGTAGAACTGATAATTGTTTGCCTGTTCCCTTTGCTTGTAACTAATAAATTCATTGCTAATAATCCTGTAGTCTGAAGAGACTTCCATAGGCATTTTCTGTACTCTAGAATGTTTGCCCTTTTGTCACATGGAGAATATTCTTCTATAATTAATTTTTAAATGTTTTTATTTCTGTTATTAGAGAAATTTGTGATGTTAAAAAGCCTCAAAAATCAGGGAAGTCTTATAATAAATAATGTATTTAAAAATCTAATTTGCCTTCGATTATATAGTGAGCAGTCATGGACTGTAAGCCCTGCCAAGTGCTTTGACACTTCCCAGTTAAAATCATCTTGTGCATCTCTACACAGAAATAGGGAAAATAGTTACTTAACATAGGACAACTTCATTTAAAGAAACAAATGTAAAGTTAAGAAATGAAGTAGTGTAGTAAAAATAATAATCTGATTAGGAGTCAAGAGTAAAGTAGCGTTATAGTGTATTTTTTATAATTAATTTATTTAATTTATTAACCAATAATACTGATAAGTTTACTTTCTTCTGTTTATCTTCCCACTTTTTTCCTCTTGCAATGTCAGAAAAACGAAAATACAAGTGAAGGGCTCAGAGAGGAGGTGGAAGTACTGAAGAAGCAGCTCAGGGAGCAAGAGGAGACTGTTCAGGACCTGAAGAAACAGCTGGCTGTAGCTGAAGTGAATCTGAAGGATGCTGAAGTCAAGTATGCAACACAGGTACAGAAATTTCTGTCTATTCATCAGTCTGTGTTTCCCACCTCACTGCTTAGACTAGTATGAAATAATAGAACAATGCTTACACAGCTGGTCTTCAATTACCTTACCTCAATTTTGTCAGTCTTGTGCCTCCTCAAATCACCTAGGTCCATCCATTTCCCTGCCATTGGCTCTTCCTCTAACCATTCCCTAAATCTTTCACAATCCCCAAATGATCTTGTCCTGCCCTTCATCCTCTACCCCAGTCCAGACCCACCCTTGGTGCAAAAGGTGCTCTGCAGGTAAGAGGTGGGTTTCACCCTTGGACAGTGGGACTGAGGGCTCTCTGAGGAGGGGGAAAACAGTCCCTGGAAGGGCCTGGGTAGGGTGTCCCTTCCTCTGAGTCACAGTTTGGGTTCTTCCCTGCCTGCCATCGCCTCTCTGTGTTCTGCTGTGGGTGTCAGGGCAGCTGACCTCAGGGCAGGTCCCTCCCCACCTGTCCCTGAGCTGTTTATCCCAGGATGTCACAGCATTAATGGTATGTTGTAGTTATTTGTGGAAAGATTTTTTTAGTACTCAAAATTGCAGGTTTAGCTTTTGAACTGTGAATTGGGCTGCATCCTATACAGTTAGAAGCCCAGAAGTTTTATGAACTGTTAATTATATAGTAATAATTTATTTTATTATTCTACGTATTTGTAGGTTAAATTCTATGCTTTTTGCTTTCTGGGATCTGAAATCTTATCAGTTGTTATACACATAATAGTAGGATAAAGACGCCAAGTAAAAATACTGTTTCGCCAAGATGATGTGTAGGATTGTCCAGCCGAAAACTCCGTCGCACACACAACGTGCTGGTGGATGTTGGAAGCAAGCCTATGTGTCTGTCAGCTTCATAACCTTGTTGGTTTGTTTTTATTTTGTGGCTTGTGTTTTCAGCTGAGCTCCCTGCAGGAGGTGATTCAGGAGAAGGAAGCTCTCCTGGAAGAGCATGTGCAGCAGCATCGAGCTGAATTGCTCAAGATGGTGGTCCAGTCAGATACGGAAGTAGAGATGCAGCAGGTATATGAGATACAATAATCATATCATGGGAGGAGGAAGGAAAACAGAGGACACTCTGAAAGAACAGTTCTCGTTAAAGTAACTCAGAAGGGATAAGAGGAAAGGTGCTTTTATTGTTTGGAGTTTTTTGGATTGCTAGTTGGAGCTTTGAGTCCTTAGTTTCCATCTGCTGGTTTGCTATCAGTCAAAGAGAAAGGACAGTTGAAAAAAGTGTTTCATTATTGTGCTCCAGTTCCCTGTTCATGAAGCAGGGAACTGGAGCACAATAATGTAACACTTTTTACACTTGTAAATGTAAGGTAAATGTAATGTAAATGTAATGTAACACTTTAACAAGTAAGCTCCTCCTACTGCACCAGGGCTCCAGAATCGGTGTCAACAAAAATTAGTTAATTCAGGCTATCACAGTAAGTGTGTTACAAAAACAAGGTATGTGGATGAAACGTGGGAATCTGAATTTACTGGAATGCTGGAATGGCCTTGTCTCTCTCACAGAACCTGCGCACGCTTCAGAGAAAGCTCGAGGAGCAGGAGGCAGCTCTGTTAGGACGAACTCAGGTGGTAGAACTGCTGCAGCAGGAGTTACACACTGCTGAAAAACAAAACCGGGTATGTGTGTGTGTGTGTGTGGTGGATCAGGCCTTTGTCAGTGGCTCAGAAGTTACCAGATTAGGTTTTTTTGGAACCATCTTTCCATCATGAAATCAGCTGGGGCCGCCGTCCCTGGGTCAGGTGTTGGAGCTGCAGGTCTGTGTGCACAGCTCACAGCAGGTACAGCCACAGTGGGTGCTGCAGTTGCCAGCTCTGATGATCCAGGGCAGGTGGGCAGGGTGTGCATCTCTCCATACCCATGCTGCTGACTGTACTTCCAAAGCCAAACACACAAACCTTCTCCAAAAGCAGAAATGCCTAACACAGTGCTGCTGGAGCCTCAGTGTTTCTGGACTGCCAGGCCAGATCAGAGCAGAAACAGCTATTCTTTGGTATGTCTTGCTGAGAACTTGCTTATTTGGTGGCACAGCTTGTGGAGTGGGATTGGCTCTGGCTTCATCAGTTTGGAGTGTGAAGAGAATGAGATCAAGTCTGTGCATGTATGACTATATAGACACAGGCTCCTTGAGACAGGATTGAGAACACAACCTCTTAAAAGGTTGGTTTGCAGATGGAGGATGAGTGTATTTCTCATTTTCCAATATCTGAACTTCTGAAAATTCTCCATGCCTTTAGAAGAGACGTACACTGAATCAGTCTCATATTCACTGGCTGCATGATCTCCAGCCAGTCTAATGCTGAACCCCATTTTGATAATTTTTACACACTTGTGCCCCACATACTTTCTTTGGCTCTGTGTCTCAGCCAGGCCCATGATGGTGGGTCCTCTTCCTACTGAGAAGAGGGTGAAGAACCTCAGTGAGCTGACTTGTGCTCACTACTGGCTGCGTTACTCAGGAGGCTGTATCATGGGGTGCTGGCATGGATGTCTTCATGACATGGCTGTTGGCTCCTGGCTGGGAAAGCTCCCTTGGCTTCTCCTCAGTGTCTTTGACTTCCCTCATACGTTCTGTGGTCTGAAGGAGACCTGGTACTTGAGGCCATGAGGGTGAAGCCTACTCATAAAGTAAAAGGAGTTGCTCATCAGATTCCTCCTGAAATTAGCTGTGCTGACCATCCACAGCTCCAGTAGGAGGAAGGTTGGCAACAGGAGTTTGGGCAAGTGTAAGGTTTGTTTCTGTCTCTTGGTCACCTTAAGTCTCTGGTCAGCGTTGACTAGTGGCTTCTGAGATCTTTCTTAAAGCAGTGGGAACTGTGTGGAGCCCTCTGTTACCTCCAGATTCATACTTCAGCATTCCCCTTTCACATACACACTTTTGCTCTGGTTTGTTTTTTAAATTCTACTCTGTAATTGTTGAGTTCTCCCTCATTTGTTACAGCTCTTCCTCCCCTTTTTAGGAAGTTTGCTTTCTTCTAAAAGAGAGCTCCTGGCCGCTGTTCTATTGCTTCTTTTGTCTAAATTCCCCTCCTCTAAGTCAAAACTTAACTTTTCTTTACCACAGCGATGAGGATTTGTTTCTCCCAACATTGCTTTCTTGCAGTTTCCAAATTGTGGGGCAGTTTCTTTCTAACAAATTGAAATTTCTGACACGTTTGTTTCCTCCCTTCTGCTACTTGGATATCTTAAAAGGATTTAATGAGAACCTTAAAATCTAGTTCAGGTGCTTTGCTTTGTCAAGGTATTTAACTAGTTGAGAGAGAAATTAATTTCTGTATCGTTTTACAGACGCTCCTAGATCAGTGCCAGAAGATGGAAGTGGAACTAAGCTCCATGAGGGATGTGTTAGATGCAGAGAGACGAGGGGCTCGGGATCTCAGGGAGAAGATGGAGCTGGAGCTGGCTGAGAGGAAGCTGGCTTCCCATCGCTTGCAGGAGGAGGTGCAGTGTCTCTCAGAGCAGCTGGAGGAGGCCAGAAGAGCGCAAGCTGAGCTCGAGGTGCAGTACAGAGACCTGGAGCAGGCACGCAGGCTGGAGGTGGAGGAGAAGGAGCGGCTGCGCAGCCGTGTGGCGGTGGCTGAAGAGGAGCTGCCACGTGGCCGTGCTGTCCCTGGGGCTGAGCGGGAGCAGCTGGAGCAGGACGCTGGCCAGCCCTCAGTGCCAGCTGTGGGACACGGAGCTGCAGCACAGGGACCACGGGGTGAGCAGGCACAGCACTCGGGGGGAGCAGCTCCTCTCGGGCTGCCTTCTCTCTGCCTTTGCTTTTATAACAGTTCATAAGAGTGGCTTGATGTAACAATCCTGATTGCACAGGGACACAGGAGTGGTGGTGCTGTCTCACACTAAGGGGGGCTGGTTTGATCCCACTGTTCTGTCTTTGGCAGCTGCAAGAGGAGCAGGAGTGTGGGGCAGCATATATGGTGCTTTGCTTGTGTACTGTCCCAGCCTCTTGTCTTTTGGGGCTTATGGAGGTTTCTTGAGCTGGATGTATTGTTTTAGTTGATTTTATTGATTTGTTTCATTTTTTCTGTCAACTTACACAAGTCCCTTTTATATGTGTCTTGTTCTTCACAGTGTGAATTTCTACTGAAATTGTAAGTAAAACAACCAAGAAAAGCAAACTGTACCATTTTCCCCATAGATGTGTGTTAAAAGTAATGACATTGATCTTGCCTCAAGCTCTTATTTTAGATTTTCTTCCAGCTTCTTTATGGCCCAAAGCTGAAGCCATGACTAAGAGAGAAGAGATTTCATAAACTATTGTGCATGTGTGTAAAATGGACATAGTGTGGCAAAAAAGACAAGAACAGACCTTAACTCCCCTCTTTCCTCTCTGTCAGATGAACTTCTACAGAAGTGTGAAGAATTTGTCTGCTGTCAGGACGAGCTGAAATCCCAGCCACAAGTACAGCTCTCTGAACTGGAGCAACAGGTTTGATATTTTCAAATTATTCTCATTAATTTTTCTGGTATATTTTAGAACTGAAGCCGAATTAAATGTCTAGAATTCCTTTTTTTATCGTGCATTGCTTGAGAAGGGCTTTTGTTAGTTCTCTCAGTCGATGGGCAGTCATGTTATGACTACAGAAGCCTGTAAAGAAGTAGAAGTCAAATCAAGTAATTTAAAAGTTTCCAATTGATTTTTTTTTAAAGTTAACCAAATGATCAAAGACTAATATGTTTTTATAAATTGTATTAAAATTTGTCTTTCTCCCTTCCATCCTGTTTAAACAGGATGAATCAGCATCACAGAAAAAAATAGTAGATCAGGAGGACCAGAATGAGACTTCATTCCTACCCACAGAAAACTTGGAAAGACAGAAGACAGAAGGTTGTATGATTACCTTACCTATTTTAATATTCTTAATATACTTAAGAATCATTCTAGAATTAGTTTCTACAAAAGACAGACCTAAAGTGAAAGCTTTCCCCAGTACAAGATGCTGACAATCTGCAGGTGGGACTTCTGTGAAGGATATTTTTGATAGCTTTTGCTGAAACAGTAAGGGACCCATATACATGCCACATATAAAAAACCCCAGACAATTACATTGATTTTGAGTGTCTGGTCATGTAGACTGCTAGCAGCAATATCACAGCTCTCTTGGAATTTTTCCATAAAACAGTGGATTCCCTTATGTGTTTACTTCAGGGTCTGGTGCTCTATGACAGTAGGCTGCCTTGATTTTTAAGAAATAGATTCATTTTGCTTCCTGTCATTCAAAGATGGGGAATAATCGCCAATAAACCAGATTCCTACAGTCCTAGAACATCATCTTTCTCTTTTTTTGTTCCAAGATCTCAGAGATGTAGGTCTTTAATGAACTTCAAGACATTGTTTAGAATCATGGCATGGTTTGGGTTGGAAGGAACTCATAAAGATCATCTGGTCCATCACCCCTGCCCTGAGCAGGGACATCCTGCACCAGGTCAGGTTGCTCAGAGCCCCATCCAACGGGACCTTGAATATGTGCAGTGATGGGGCAGCTGACAGCTTCTCTGGGCAATCCAGGGGGAAGCAGCCCTCTTGAGAAGCTGCAATAGGGCCTCTCTGAAGCCTTTCTTCTCCAGGCTGAGCAACCACGGGTCTCTCAGCCTTTCTTCATGGGAGATATATTCCAGCCTTCTGGTCATTTTTGTCATTTCTTCTGGACTCACTCCAGCAGATCCACATCTGTCTTGTACAGGGGAACCCCAGAACTGGACACAGTGCTCTGAGTGGGGCCTAACAAAAGCAGGGAAGAGGGTGAGAATTATCTCCTTCAGCCTGCTGCCCACACCTCTTTTGGTGCAGCCCAGGGTATGATTGGCTTTCTGGGCTGCAGGCACACATTGCCAGCTCCTGTCCAATTTTTAGTTTACCAGAATCCCAGAGTCTTTCTCTGTAGCCTGTTTTCCATCCATTCACCCCACAGTCTGTGCTGGTACTGGGGATTGCCCCAGGTCAGGTGTAGGGCCTTGCCCTTGGCTTTACTAAATCTCACTGTGCACAGGGGCTGCATAGCTGCATTCCTCAGGCTTGTCCAGGTCTCTCTGGATGGCATCACATCACATCACATCATCACATCACATCACATCCGCCCAGCAAACCATCAGCTACTCAGCCTGGGTGATCCGCAGGTGCCCACGGGTGCACTCCCCCAGCTGTGTGCCAGCAGCCAGGACACTGAACTGTGTCCAGGATGGGCTTCTGTGGGTGCTGGTGCCCACGTGGATGCTGAGCCATTGGCTGCAGCTCCTTGCACACAGCCAGTTCCTTACCCCAGCTCACAGCCCACCTGTCAAACCCATACCAGCAATTTAGTAGCACGGGTGTTGGGAAGACCATATGAAAGGACACTCACAGAAATCCAGCTTTCAGTCTGGAATCGTGCCCCAAGCTACAGCTGAGTACATCCAAAATGCACCTGGAAAACTTCCATCAGCTTTCTTAAAAAGCAGCTCCTCTCTCCCTCTACTGAAAGGAATTCCACCCAAAAAATGCAGTGACTCAGGGCTTCACTGTCATGTTATCTAAAGCATCGTTTCCCAATGCATGGTTAGCTGCATGTTTACTTCAAAACAAGCTTTTGTTGTTGTAATTCTGTTTCCAGTGGGTGTATTGAATGCTTGATTACTTTTTTTTTTTTTTTGTCTTAAAATGCTGGGAGATGTAATTTCTTTTTTAAAACTACCAAAATATTAAATGAAACATAAAAAATCTTTTAAGTCTGCTATATAGGTTCTAAGTACTTTGTTACTCCTTTTTTGTGTCGTGAAATTGTCAGTCTTAATTAAAGTGGGATGCCAACAATTGCCACCATAATCCATTCCTGACTTTGGTAGAATGAAATAAGGATTTATAGTTACTTTATATTTTGTAATTTCTGGTGCTTTTCAAGCAGACCTTAACAAATCCCTTCAAATTTCAAGCTGTTATTGTTTGCAATATAAAGATTCTTGAAATCCTTGTACAGCCTTAATTTCCATGGGCTTAGCAGTGCATTAGACCAGAATACCTGTAACTCTCTTTACATCTGTATGGATTCCTTGAACTTCTCTTGAGGCAGCTCTTGGAGGGATTGAAGGTCTCTCCTCCTGCTGTGTAAGGGAACATTGTCTGGAGTTCACTAGAGCAGAGTAGGGATCAATAAAGGAAAGCCATTATCACAGAAAACACAGACTGCCTTCCAATTGTTAGAATTCACAAAATGTTCATTTGAGCTTCCTCAGCTTCTGTAGTACTTAGTAAATACAGTTTTGTATAATCAATTGTATGGAGATAAGTGTGTGAAGGAGAACAGAAGAAAACGTTGTACTGTATGTTGATGGTATGTGTGTCCTCACTGCATGCTCAGAAGTGAAAAGTACAGAAATTTGTACCCCTTAGAGAACTGTTTAACTTGGTCCTGATTTTTATTTTGCATATATATTAACCTATTTTTCATACCATCATTGCTAGTTAATGCATTCACAAAAATGGGGCCTGTTTTTTAATTCTTCTAAATTGATATTTCTGGGAAGACACAGTATTTGCTGCTTTACAAATGGCTCCTATGCTAAAAAGCTAAGCCATCACCTAATACATTAATTAGAACTGAGATCAATTAGAATGTATTTTTCTTGTACATTTGTAACAATTTCTCATTTTATTTTTTCGAAATGAAATTTGAAACATCTTTCTACAATAGTTCTTCCTTTCCTCTCGTTTATAAAAATGTTTCTTAAAACTTGAATCTCTATTACCTGTCTTTCAGTATGTCTGTATGACAACAATTGTCCTTTTCTAAAAGCTGCTTAAAAGACCATGTTGGTTGTGTGGTTGCCTCTTAAAAAAAACCAAACCCACATTATCCTATGACAGTACATATTTCCACTGCATAAGTGTTATTAACAGCCATGTGTCCTTTCTCAAAAGCTCCGGGAAGAATATTCTGTTGCTGTCTAAAACAAAGTCTTAAGTGTGAAAGAAACTTTTTGTGTTTGAATGTTTCAGAAATACCACATTTGCAGCTTGTTCTCCGGGAGTCTCAGCAGGAAGCTGTGATGGCCACAGAAGATGCAGAACAGGTAATGATAAAGCTGCTGAAATAAAATGGGTCAAGGACTGGCCTCAAAACAGCTAAGCTGTCATGGTCTTTTGTAGCAATCCTCTTTAAAGGTTATTATTAACTGGATTAATGGTGAAAGACAGAAATAGCTTCCAAATACAGCTTGTGCTGTGTTAGTACCAGACTGTATTTCCCTTTGCCAGCTGTGTGCATTTCTTGTGTCCTTCATCCATCCGGTCACACTTGTGCTATTTTAACTATTTGTTAAATAATAGTTAATAATAGCACATTTGTGCTATTTTCTGCCTGTTGTTAGTTTTCTAGCAGAGTCTCTGGAAATAAAATTCTCTAGCAGTGTCTCTGGAATAGCAGTGTCTCTGGAAATAAAATTCCAAAGGCTCAGCTGCCATTATCTAAGATGCCTTTCAAACCATTCCCACTGCCCTAATGGGCACCTGGCTGACTGGCTGGGGAGCTGTGTGCTCCGTGAGTGGGACAGGTGGGCACTGTCCTTGTGCTGCTCTGTGAGTGGGGACAGGTGGGCACTGTCCTTGTGCTGCTCCATGATGGGGACAGGTGGGCACTGTCCTTGTGCTGCTGGGGGACAGGTGGGCACTGTCCTTGTGCTGCTCTGTCACAGGGGCAGGTGGGCACTGTCCTTGTGCTGCTGTGTGACAGGTGGGCACTGTCCTTGTGCTGCTCTGTCACAGGGACAGGTGGGCACTGTCCTTGTGCTGCTGGGGGACAGGTGGGCACTGTCCTTGTGCTGCTCTGTGAGTGGGACAGGTGCGCACTGTCCTTGTGCTGCTCTGTCACAGGGACAGGTGGGCACTGTCCTTGTGCTGCTGGGGGACAGGTGGGCACTGTCCTTGTGCTGCTCTGTCACAGGGACAGGTGGGCACTGTCCTTGTGCTGCTGTGTGACAGGTGGGCACTGTCCTTGTGCTGCTCTGTCACAGGGACAGGTGGGCACTGTCCTTGTGCTGCTGGGGGACAGGTGGGCACTGTCCTTGTGCTGCTGCCCCGTGTCCTGCTGCAGGTGCCAGTGCAGCCAGGCTGTTGTTGGGCAGAATGCAGGGTTAGGAACCTGCTGCTTGGCCTTCTATTCAGCATAGGGAGGGAGATGTCAGCCTCTGTGTGTCTGTACTGAGGCTTTGCTGTGAACCTGGTCATTAGCTTAGAGCCCATCCTGTCCACAGGGGGATGATTAATGCTGTGTTTTATCTACTACATTCCTCTCTATCAGAGGGTTTGCATGTTACTGTGAAGTATTAAGGTGAAAGTTGGTATTTGGAAACAGAGAAGCATTTTGAGTCATTCATCCCCCTTCCAAGTGCCTGCAAGCTGTGAGCTGGTAGATGAGTCGGAATGCACACACACCCACACACGCAGGCTTTTCAAAGGCACATGTAAGCATTTGAACTGTTTTCTACTGCCCCTTTATAGACAGTGGAAAAAACAGGTTCCTTAGCATATGTCTCACCTGCAGCAAGGTGAATGTTGAAAATGGGTCAATGAAAACAACCCTGGAATTGTCCATTTCAGTGTCTTCGTTATAACAAGAGTCCAGCTAAATAGCTTACATCTAAGTTTTTACACTTGGACAGCTATTCCTATCATTTGTGCACCTGACCCATGGCTTTAGGGCAAGTAATAGAGTTACCCAAACCCAGGTTAAGGCATCTAACAGTTAAAGGTTCTTGTGGGGTTCTTGGTTTGTTTGTGTGGTAGAGCCTAGCATAACTTTATTGGGAAAGCTGCAGGTTCTGTATCTGCTGGAGCAGTGAGGCATAGACACATGATTTCTCACCTCTGCCTGGGTGCTCAGTGAATGGTTGTGATACTGTGGTTAGTGCCTTTGAGGGAGTGAAGGTGGAAGAGAAACCATCTCAAGGTAGGAAGGAAGTTGTTTAGATCATTGCGTCCATTGATCTGTTGATCTGCTGAGATATGTCTTAGTCTATTGCTTAACATCAAAATTAATCTCTTTTTCATTGTTTATTTATTTATTTATTTTCTTTTGGCTTCAGAGTTGTGTCCAAACTCTGATAGGTTTTACTTAGAGCTGGCAGAGCAGTAGACAGCTGAGAGATCTGTCTCCTCATAGCAGGATCCTGGCTCAAAGCTCAGTGTTTTGTTCTTCATCCCACAGAATAAAAATATTGGTGCTGAGGCAAAATTGGAAGACCTGGGGACTGTGGAAGCTCCAGCCTCCTATGTAGACTGCTCTTCTTCTACAGGTGAGGATACAGAATGAGGCACGTGACAAGAAAATTGTGAAAATTTGAGGAGTTTCAGGGACAAATTTGAGGATTATTTAGAAGGAGGTGCTCTGAGGTCAGAATCTAAAGATTGTAATCTACAGAAGGCAGAAAATATTTACATGAGGTAGAAGAGAACATTCTAATGTGGGATGGGTAGGATATACCAGAAGAGAAGAAAAAAGTGGTTGCTAAAGGTAGGAAGAGAGAAGGGCTTGAAGGAGTGTGTTTGTAGATGCACAGAGGAGAATTAAGATAAAATTAAGAACTGTGTGTTTCTCTGCAAGCCAGTAAAAGTCTTTTTGTGTCTGGAATTCCATGCCACATCCCACATGGAGAAAAAAAGCAGTGAAACCAATCTGATGCTCCTTCAGGGGTCAGGAGTGCTGTGTGCAGGTGATGCAGCAAACACAGAGGATTGCACAGAACCGTGCTGCAGCTGCAGTGACTGAATTAGTGGTTGGAGTTAAACCAAAACAGGATGTCTGTGCACTGCAAAGACTCAAACTCTGGTTGTTTTCTTCTGTGCTTAGTTTGCTCCCTTTTTTTTCTTTTTTTTGTTTTTTAATTTTTTTTTGTCTTTTCTCACCTTCTATAGAAGCTTTGGTCCCATTTCTTGTCCCTTCGCTCTACCTACCAACTTTACCTGCAAATTGTTGCACTGATGGTGACAAGTGTTCCTTTTCTCACTAGGTGTGTCAGGAGAGCTGGTGAATTCTGAAATGCAAAAGCCTTTTGGTGACACTTCCGTGCTCTCTGAGGTACAAACGTAGTCCAAAACCCTTTTGGTCTCAGTATTGTATGCATTTGCAGATACAAAAACTTTAATTTAGTTTAAAAGCCTCAAAGAGTTGTCTCTTTTTACTCTCCTGTGACTTAAAGTGGTTGTTTCATTATGACAGCAGACTTTTTAAGAGCAGGTCTCCTTTAATGGCTCCCCATAAGCTGTTTCTGCCCTCCAAGTCTTTACAGTGCAGCACGTTGACTTATTGGTGGGCTGTTGATCCAAGCTGTCTGGGGAGGATTTGTGAGTGCTTTTCTTTTGTAATCTGTTTTGGGGGATGGGAAGAAACTTAATAACTTGGAAAAAGCCAAGCACTTCGTTCCAGGTGCTTTGTCTAGTGCTTTCACTTTGGGCATGGACACAGATTGGAATGTGGGTTTCCATCCTGCTTCTTTGCCATGTTAAATGGATAGATTGAATAGGGGACAAAAACCTCCTTGTTCAGAGGCTATGAATAGGATGGCATGAAAATGTGACTGGTTAGGTACACTAGAGGGTTTGTTAGAATCACAGGAGAACTTAAACAGTTCAGAGTTAGACTGTCTTGCAATCAAGAGAGAAGGGGGAAAAAGGGAATAGGAAGTTGTTATGGTCTGATCCTGCAGCCAGAATCTTTCATGCTGCGACTTCAGGAACTGAAATTAGCAGAAGTGATGTGGGGAGTCACAGAATCACAGAACAGTTGGGGTCAGAAGGGACCTCTGGAGGCCACCGAGTGCACCCCCACTGCCAAGGCAGCATTCCCCTGCTATTGGCAGGGCTTCCATTTATTGCAGAAGCCAGCCTGAGACAGTTACAAACCGTGGAAAGCAGATACTTCCAGAGTGGCCCTTTCACAAGATTCAAAGGAAAAATGATGTCTGCTATTTTCTTTTAGGCAAGAACAGATGGCTTTACCAATAGAAGCCAGCAGTTTACTGAGGAAAGCTGTCCACCTGGAATTCTAGACTATATTGCTGCGGAGAAACAGAAGGAGCTGTCAGTTTTGCTGCTGGAACTGAAGGAAGCCCAAGAAGAAGTAACTTTTCTGAAAAGCCGACTCAAGGGCCCCAGTGGCCAGACTTCTACAGGCAGCCAAACAGAAGCTAACCAGCTGGGAGAGAATTCACAGATACAGTGCCAGGAGAGGGAGGAGCAGAACGCCTCAGATACACAGAGTGTTTTATTGCTGACAGAAACAGAAATTCAGAAAACTGGCTTTCTTCAGGAAAATGGAATCAGCTTCCAAGATGAGCCTCAGGGAAGTCCTGGCCCCTCTCAGTCTCAAGAGCTCATCAAGTTACAAAACCAAATTACAGAACTGCAAATAATGCTACAGAAATCAGAAGAATCCTTTAGAAAAGAACTAGGAGAAAAATGTGCAGAAATAAATAGGCTAAACCAGTTGGCAGAGGAATACAGGAAAAAAGCAGAGGATCCTGACAGTACATTTTGTGTTTTGACTGATGAGCAAGATCAGCTCTCGTGTCAGGCCAAAGAACTTTCTACCATAACAGAACTGAAGGAGCAAGTGAAGCAACTGGAGGAAGAGCTAGCTCTTTCAGAAAAGCAGAGACTGTCAGACAGTCAAAGCAGCCTTCTAAGAGAGCAAATCCAGAGCCTTAAAAATGAATTTAAATCCAAAGATATAAAAATTGAAGCTTTGCAAAAGGACTTGGATGAAGCACAACTTCAGCTTTCTGACCAGGACATGCAACTGAAGGATCTGAGAAGCCAGGCTGAGACAAAGGAACGTGAAGTACTTCATCTAGGACAACTTTTGAGGGAGAATACAGCAGAGATGGAAGAGCTTTCCCACAAGTTAACCTTAAAGGGACGTGAGGCAGCAAGCCTGGAACAGCTCGTTGCTGAGCACACCAGGTCTGTAGAGAGCCTGCAGCAGGCCTTGCAGGAAAAGGACCAGCAGATGGCAGAGATCAGTGTCAGCATGTCTGAGAAAATGGTCCTGCTGAATGAAGAGAAGTTTGCTCTAGGAAACGAGCTGAAGAGTCTTAAGGAGCAGACAAGTCTGTTATTAAAATCCCAGGAAGAAAAAGAGCAGAACATAGGAGCAAAAGATACATGTCTGAAGTGTGGGGTATCCAAGCAGCAGAATGAGACAGAAGCAGTGAGTAAAGAAAATGAGGAATTAGTAAATCAAGTTGAACTTCTGAGAAAAGAAAATGAGCAAGTAAAGAGGAAGCTGCAAGCAGTATTTGTGAACAGGAAGGAGCTTCTGAAGAAGGTAACCAGATTGGAGAATGAATTAGAACAACTGAATAGAGAACAAAAACAAGAAACCTCAGAGGCTCGGGCAGCTGCAGGGGAGGAGGACATGAGAAGCATGATCAGCAAAGAAATGGGTCTTGAAAACCAGCCCCGTGAGGACTATCTAGTTCAGCTGCTTTCTGAAAAGGAATCTGAGCTGCAGAGCATGCGGAAGGAAAAAGAAACTACTGAAGCACAACTGCAGGCAGTGATTGAGGAAATGAGGCAACGCTTGCAAGATAAGGCAAACACTGCTTCAGTTAAAGATGAAATCATGGAGCATCAGGCAGTTCCTGACAAAGTGACTGAAACCAATGAAAGCCCAGAAGATGATGAAGAAAATGAGAAACATGGTTCAGCAGGTACAGATCTGGAAGAAAAACAAAAGTCTGCTCTTAGAGAAAAGATTTCAGTTCTTGAACAAGAAAAAGAACAACTTCAAAAAAAACTTCAAGAAGCTCTCATATCTCGCAAAGACACTATAAAAAAGGCTCAAGAAAAAGACAGGCATCACAGAGAACAATTGAAACAGCAAAAAGATGATTACAACATCCTGCAAGAAAAATTTGATCGGCAAAGCAAAGAGAAAGACAGTATCCAGGCTCAGCTCAGACAGCTCCAAGAGCAGAAAGGATCAGCAGAGAGTGTTTTTAGGAGTCAAGGTAGGTTGGATTCTTCATGCATGGAAGCAGAAGATACAACAATTAACAAGCTTGTACAAGTTGCAGATATTTCTGAGGAAGAGTGGAAAAAACACCTTGACAAATTGCAGATGGAGAAAGAGAAATTGGAATGTAGTGTCAGCCATATGCAAAGGGAGCTTGCTCACAAATCAGAATTAATCTTTGATTTGCAGCAGCACATAGCACAGTTGTTTGTAGAGATAGAAGGGCTGAAGAGAACCTCTGACCAAGCTGAAGCTAAGGGAGCAAGTCTTCAGACAGAATTGGAGGAGAATCAAGGAAAAATTTCTGGAGTGGCCAGTCTGGAAGACTTGAAAATTCTTGTGCACCAAAAGGATGAAGAAATAGAATTTCTTAGCCAGCAGTTAAAGGAGAAAAATGACACTCTCAATAATGTGCAGGCACAATTGCTGGAAAAAGAGGAATCAGTCCAAAGACTGTGTAGTCAGTTGGAGGCTCAGGCTCAGGTGCATGAGGAGCAAAGCAAGCGACTACAAATGGAGATGCTTGAAATTCAGGAGAAGCAGAAGGACAATGCAGAAGCAGCTAAGCAGAAGAATCAAATGCAGAGAAAGTTGCAAGCAGCACTTATCTATAGAAAAGAGGCACTAAATGAGAGCAAATCTCTAAAAGAAGAGCTGGCTAATGCTAAAATTACTATTGACAGTCTTTCTGTCAAGCTGACAGATTTGGAAAGCCAAGTATGTGGCCATGTTAAAGAAACAGATACCTTAAGAGAAAAGTTAGTGTGCCTCACTGGAGAGCGAGAAAAACTTACTGCAGAAATTGATAAACTACTTGGAGAAAATCAGAACCTTGATGGATGCTGTAAAAACCTTACACTTAATCTGGATAGCGTTGTTCTAGAGAAGGAGAAGCTGGAGAAGGAGGTGGAATCATTGAAGAGCTTTCAAGCCACTGAGAGTTCTGAGTGGCAGGAGAAACACAAGGAGCTTCAGGGAGAATATGAAACTCTGCTGCAGTCATATGAGAATGTGAGTAATGAGGCTGAGCGAATTCAGCATGTGTTGGAAACTGTTAGGCAGGAAAAGCAGGAAATTTTCATTCAGCTCAAAGGGGCTGAAGCAAAAAAGCAGGAAACAGAAAAGCAGCTACAAGAAACTGAACAGGAAATTGATGAAATGAAGGAGAAAATGAGGAAATTTGCAAAATCAAAGCAACAAAAGATCCTGGAACTGGAGGAGGAGAATGAGAAGCTTAGAGCAGAGATGCATTTTACAAATGGAGAGCTGCACAGGACTGGAGAGAGCTTTACAAACACTAGCCTGAAAGAAGACCTGGAGTGCTCTAGGAAGGAGTGCCAGTCTCTTTCTACTCAGCTTGAGACAGTAATGGCTGAAAAGGAGTCTCTGAATCAAGAGATTGTGGACTTGAAGTGCCTTTTGCAGGTAACAGAGTCTAAGCTGAAGGAAAGCAGAGAACTTGTGGACAGGTGTGTTGCCCAGCAGACAGCGGGGCAAGAAACTGATAAGGCAGCTGCCACACCATCACCAACGGAAGAGTCTGAAAATCAAGTGGACGTGTCTTTTCAACCAGAGCCTCGTGCTGCCGAGCTGGACCAAGAGGCATCTGAAAGTGAGAGACCTTGTGAGGATCCTGGTCTCTACAGACAGCAAATAGCTGAGCTCACCAGGCGAATCGCAGAGATGGAAGATAACAGAAGGGCTTCAGAGCAACAGCTGGGTGACATCCGCAGGTGTGCCGAGACTTTAGCAGGTGAGAAAAGGGCTTTAGAGCACCAAATAGGAGAGAAAGTCCATGAAGTGAATGATTTGCAGGCCACGGTAGCAAAGATGGAGCAAAAGGTCCAAGAAGCCAGAGACGACCTCATCAGAATGACAGCACTGAAGGATGCTCTAGAGGCTGAAAAGGATGATTTGGAAGAAAGGCTCATGAATCAGCTGGCAGAACTTAATGGAAGTATTGGAAACTATCAGCAAGATGCAACAGACTTCCAAATCAAAAATGATCAACTGAAACATGAGCTTCAGACTTTGCAGAGAATGATGCACGAACTGGAGGAGGAGAAAAGTCAGATGGCAAAGGAGAAAAGCAAAGCGAGTTCAGAAGAGCAAAAGGAATTTGTGGGAAAGCTAAAATACAATTGGAGAGGAGAAAGCAGCACACATATAAAGGAGCTTCAAGAACTGCTGAAACAGAAACAGCAGGAGATTAAGCAGCTGCAGAAGGACTGTATCAAAAGCCAGGAAAAGAACAGTAGTTTAGAAAGAACTGTTAAAGCTCTGGAATTTCTGCAGAGTGAGACTCAAAAAGAGGTAGAAGCAGCCAAAGAAACTTCAGCTAAAGCAGTTGAAGACACCAAGAAAGCCCAGGCAGAGCTTGCTCACTGCAGAGTAGTGTTGGATGACACTCAGAGTGAGGCAGCAAGGGTTTTAGCTGAGAGTATCAAAGTGAAGGAAGAGTTACAAGCAGACAAAGAGCAAATTAAAATTCAAATGAAGAAAAAGGATGAAGACTTTGAGAGAAGACTGGAACAGGAAAAAGACAAGCACTCAAAGGAGATCAAAAACATGGAAGCAAAGCTGGCGACATTGCAGAGAGAGAAGGACCATATGGAAACAACAGTTGGTGATCTGCAGGACTCCTTGAAGACAAAGGATCAAGAAGCAAAGCAGCTGGAAGGCAATCTAAACAAAACACTAGCCCAGCTTGCAGCCTTCACCAGGAGCATGTCTTCCCTTCAGGATGATAGGGATAGAGTGATAGATGAATCAAAAACATGGGAGAAGAAATTCACTGAAACTATTCAAAAGAAAGAAGAAGAAATACGTTGGAAAGAGGAAGCTTGTGTTGTGCTACAGGACCAGGTGAAACATATGACCATGCGTGTGGAGGAACTCCAGACTCAAATATCCAGGTAAATAAGCTGTGTCAGGGGAGGTTTATCAGGAAAAGGTTACTTTGCATTTGTTATCTGCACAAGGACATGAGGTGATCACTCTAGAATAGTCCTCCTTCACGTCCTTAGGATACCTGTGTTAAATCTGTTCTCTGTGACAAGCATTCACCATCGATTACTCTCCAGAGCATTTCAAATTTCAGATTAATTAAAGAGTCTTTTGCACTGAGAAGTCAAGAGGGCATTGGGATACATAATTCCAGTTTAGTGCCAAAATAAATTTTGAGGGGAAGATGGAGCTATGGAAACCTATCAAAATGTGTATACAGCTGTGTATTTCCAAAATTCAAAACTGAACCATTCTTACATGAGTAAAATTGTTTATATATATATATGCTGTATCTTTGTGTGATGAAGCATTAAATGGACATCACAGGTACCAGAACAGCAACTTCATTGTGGGGTGGCATGGAGTTGTTTTTATTGTTAGCTACAATGGACGAGAGAAGTAATGTAATGACAGGGGCGTGATAACTTTCAGTGTTTAAGTGAACACTTTTTTCAGTATTGACATGAACAACTTTAAAAGAATATATTCCCCTGCCACCACCCCTTTAAGGCAGTAGTACAGTCAGAACTTTAAAAGATATCTTGAATTTTAAATTGAGAGATATTTCTAGCTTGCTTTCTTTAAGTAAAACAAATTCTGTGGGTTTTCTAAATTAGTATAAGAACAGAGTTAGTGTGGGTTTAGCTACTGAGATACTTTGTGGATTTTTGACCAACTTAATCTTTTCTTTTCAGATTGGAATGCAACAAGAAAGACTGGGAGGTTGATTGCAGGAAGGAGATTCAGCATCATCAAAAGACATGTGAAATGTTGCAGGAGGAAAAAAAAGAGCTTTTGACTCGGCTTGAAGGGTCTCAGGAACTGTACAGCAAGTCTCAGAATGAACAGCAGGAACTGGAGTCAGAAATCAGCAGCCTAAGAGACCAGCTTGCTGACTTACAGAATTCCTTCACCAAATGTGAGCTGGCCAGGGAAGAGCTGGGGACTGTGGTCAAGCAACAAGAGATGAGTATCCAGAATTTTAAACTCAACTGTGAGCAGCTTGAAGCTGACCTGCAGGCTTCCAAGGACCTAACAAATAAGCTGCATGAAGAAATTAGTGCCAAAGATGAAAAGATCATGAGTTTGCTGTCTGCCAAAGAAGAAGCAGTGATGGCTGCTCTAGCTAAATTACAGCAGCAGCATTCTGAAGAGACAAAAGAGTTGGAGTGTAGGCTAAGTAAGGAGGAAGACAATAAAAAAGCCTTGGAAAATGAGAAGAACAAATTTCTTGACAAACTCAATCATCTCACTGAAAAGATGAAGATAAGCAGAGAAGAAAGTAAGCAGCAGAAGGCACAGCTGGACTCCTTCACCAAGTCCATGTCATCTCTGCAGGACGACCGAGACCGCATTCTGAGGGACTACAAGCAGCTCGAGGAACGCCATCTTGGTATAATCCTGGAAAAAGACCAGCTAATTCAAGAGGCTGCTGCTGAAAACAACAAGCTCAAGGAAGAAATTAGAAGTTTCCATGGCCAGATGGATGACCTCAACTCTGAGAATGCCAAGCTGAATGCACAGTTGGTGCGGTACAGAGAAGACCTTAACCAAGTGATTTCAATAAAGGACTCCCAACAGAAGCAACTTCTCAAAACACAGCTTCAGCGGATCCAGACTCTGGAAAATGAGAAGGCAACCATAGAAACACAGCTGAAGGAGTCTGAGCATACTCAGGATGATCTCAGGAAGTGCATGGAAGCCTTAAGAGAGGATAAAGTCAGTATGTCTCTAGAGATTGACACTCTTAGGTCCTCTCTGTCGCGAGTGCAGAGTGAGGTGGCAGCATTACATGAGGGCAGTCCCATTGTGGAGTGTCAGGCAGAACTGAAGGCTCGAGAGAAAGAGCTACAGCAACTGAGTCATGAGCTTTCCCTCTCCCAGAAGAGAATAAGAGAACTTGAGGGGGAGCTAGACTGTGTTCAGAGGGATGCAGCCAAGAGAGTGGGAGAGGCTGAGGACAGGCTTCGGAAGGAGCTGAAGCACCTGCATCACGATGCAGGGATAATGAGGAACGAAACCGAGACAGCTGAAGAGAGAGTAGCAGAGTTGGCACGGGACTTGATGGAAATGGAGCAGAAATTGCTTGAAGTCACAGATGAAAACAAAGATCTCAGAGCTCAAATTCAGTCTTTTGGGAGGTCCATGAGCTCTCTTCAGGATAGCCGAGACCAGGCTAATGAAGAGCTTCGTCTTTTGAAACAGAAATATTCTACAGACTTACAGGAACAAAAGAGTCTAGTGCAGACTCTTCAGAAACAGATGGGTCAGCTACAAGAGGAGCAACGTTCCACTCTCAGGGACCGAGATATGGTCAGGTCTGAGCTGACAGAACTGCAGAAGGCTATTGATGAAAGAGGTCTCTTGGCCCAGATTGAGGAACTTAATCAACAGCTCAGAGCTAAAGATGATGAGCTTCTCCACTTGTCTTTGGAATTGGAAGGCTCTTCCAACCAAGTCAAATCTTTCTCCAAGGCTATGGCAAGCCTGCAGAATGACCGAGACCGTCTGCTGAATGAATTGGACAAAACACATAAGATAGAAGAAGTGAAACAACAAGCAGAAGGGAGCATTTCCACCACTACTTTGGAAGTGCAGAGTCTGAAGAAGGCACTGGCCTCCTTGCAGAGTGACAGAGACAGAGTAGTAAGTCCATGTTTTCTCTTCCTGCTCTTACTTTAAGTACCAGAGGAGGTTTGGATCTTCAAGTCTTAAAATTCAGCACGCTTAGCTCTGATAATAGAAATGTGATGTATAGATCAGGCTGCATCTTCATGGAATCACAGAATAGTTGAGATTCAAAGGGTCTTCTGGAGTTCTTCTAGAGATCTCCTAGTCCAACCCCCCTGCACAAACAAGGCTTGCTGGAATAGGTTGCTTTTACAATGTCTTGTTGGATTTTGAATATCTCCATCAGTAAACATTCCACAGCTTCTCTAGCCCTCTAGCCAGCCTGTTTTTGACTGACCAGACTGCAGGTTCACAATTCTCCTTTCTTGCCCTTCTTGTAGGTAGGGATGACATTTGCTTTCTTCCAGTCTTGAGGAACCTCTTGGGTCACCATGACCTTTCAGAGGGTCCCAATGACCTTAGCATTTGTGGGCATGCTCCATCAGACCCCATGAATCTGGTATGGGCCATCTGTATTATTTTCTCTGGCATGGAGGCTGTGATTCCATTGTTAACTTCCAAGGGTGGTTTCTCTGTGAGGTTGGTTTAAAATATGAAATCATGGAAGTAAGGTCTCTGTTAACCTGCATAGTTCACATCTGTGTCAGCTCATTTGATTTGCCTTAGATTTCTAAGAGACTAGAACAAAGGCTTGAGTTTCCTTCTCCTCTTGGCAGCTGACTTTCAAAGCAGGTACAAGACATTGCAGATTCCTTCAGACATTCTTGCCTGCACACTGGATGTGTCTGTGTTTGTGTGGTCTCTAGCACAGTGCAGCCCAGCAAGTTCCAGAGTTCTCCTTGCTGCTCAGAAGACAGAGTTGACCGTCATGTCCCACTGCCACTCACTGAGCGCTGTCCTGTCTCCAGAGTCAGCCATGTCTTCTTGTCTTCAAAAACAATTGCAGTGATGCATGTGTAACAACAACAACTTATTTCTAATTATAGCCTGACTGGAATTGGAGAGCTAAAAGGATTTTAGCTCTTATCAGTTTCCTGGTTTACAGTAAATACCAACTTCAGGAGTTATGCCTAACCAGCTCCTTCTGTGTCACTTAGTTTTCCTCTGATTAAGATGATTATTATTGTATTCTGGAGTCTTTTTGTTAATGTATTTCACATCTTCATGGGAGGGCTCAAAACTCACTGCCCTTATTACCAATAGAATTGTCTGAGGGCGTTTTTCTGAGCAGTTTTTAGTACACTGCTGTATTTGATGATTCTGTTTTTAGTTCCTCTGTCCTCTGAATGTGACGCTTTTCTCCCTTCAGACACCACAGTAAGAAATGCTCTTAAACAGTTCTGAGTAATAAACCTGATGCTTGCTCAGCTGTCACATAATGATGTTTCTCTTTAATCCCAGGTAAGAGAGCTGGAGAATCTGCAGCAGCAGTACATCCTTGTTGGGGTGGAAGCTGCTGAGAATTCTCGCTTAAAGGCACAGCTGCAGCAGCGGGAGCAAGAGGCAGACAAACAGCTTCGCCTGCAAGAACAGCTGAGGCAGGAAGGAGCTGTGTACCAGCAGGAGCTCCAGCAGCTCAGGTGAGCTGTCTGTCTGCTTCCTGCCTTGGCCAGGTTGCCCATGTGGTTGTTGTGGGCAGAGCTGGGGAGAATGCTGAGAGCCCCACCTGTGCCAGGTGACACTGAGCACCCGCCCTGGCCAGGAGAGGACACGGGATTCTCTCGCCCAGCTTCTGCCTCAGGATTACAGCCCAGCAGCTTGGAGGTCAGTGCCTGTGTGGAATAGATCAGGGATGTCTTTGTTTTATTTCCTTCATCCACTGGTGGTCAGTATCATCTGTTGGAGAGGAAACTGAGGCTGTTTCTTGCATTGGAACTTGTGTATATGATCACAGTACTTTCCATTCCAGGCTGCTGCTGAGCGCCCTTTATTATCCCACTGATAGCATAGTTTAGAGCATACTAATTTTGTATGTTTGTCTAATCCTATATTTCACTTGCCCTATGTCTTCTAGTTTGTTCTTTTTAACTCTGTAATTCAAGTCTAGTAAAAATATTTTCTCCAAATGGACTAAAACTAGTCAGACAAATATGCTCTGTTCTGAAAACAGGGGGAAATGCTTTCAGGTATTTCAGAGATCCATTTAAGAATGCCTGAGGCTGGAATGAAAAAGGTGGGATTTTCTTTCTGAAAAGGTCTATGGCTTATCTTTGTCCAGAGTGATGTAAAAACTTGTAGTTCTCTCCCTCCCCTGTACGTCCACTCTGACCCTCAAATTAACACTGCAGATTTCGTAAAGTTTGAAGCATCTTACAAATTTTATTTATCCTGACAAAAGAACAGGAGGTTTATTTCCTGTGCAGCTTTTACACTGTACTGAAGTGCTGGCCTCAGGTTGGTGTGGTACTGTGGGTCTGGTGCAGAGAAATTATTATGGGGACAAGTGGCATTGCCAGTGACTTCCTTGACAAAACTCTGTACAGTGAGATCAAAACAATGTCCAGAAACACAGAAAGTGTGAAAAAGTCACCCTAGGACAGCATGGAACAATCCAAAGGGTTCAACCAAATACAGAAAACTTCCTTACACCTGCTTTAAAGGTTCCTGTACTTAGGTGTGTTGTTTTGGCTTGGCTTGGTTATAAAACTTCATGTCTAGCATGAGGTGATGGTTGGATCACCCCTGGCTCAGTCTTAGCTGGGTACCTGGTCATCATGCTGGCAACTTCCTTGTAACTGGCCTTGTTTATGCTGGGCAGACAGGAGAAGAACACGTGGGAAAAGCAGAGCAGCAGCATGAAGGAGCAGTACCTGCTGGCCATTGCAGAGAAGGACAAGGAGCTGAGCCATTTGCAAAGGATCACACAGGAAATGAGGCTGCCCTTCAGCAAGGCTCAAGCCGTACAGGAACAGCACCAAAGCAAGGTGGGTGCAAAGATACAGATTCTTTACTGGGAATGTGAAGCTTGAAACTCAACCAGAAGAGCATGTGTTGCCTCTATCCAGCTCCTGCAGACTGCAACGTTGGATGTGGGTGTGAGGCCTCCAGAGATAATACCAACAGTCTAACTTGCATCACTGAAAGTTGTAGAAATTAGGGCGTACCCTTAAGTGCTCTTCATTACGTTCCTGGTTTCCAGTCTTTCAAGAAAGAGGGCAGAAGAGACAGGGCTTCCTAGGCACCTTGGGTCCTTTGGAGCAGCATGGAACTTCTCAGATGTGTATTCTGGCTGGTCTAAATTGCCCTCTTGTACTGTCTTTGAATCTAAGATTTTTCTGTCTTAGTGCTCATTTTAATGTCAGATCTTCATTTTTAAGTTTTCTATTGAATTTTTCTTGCTTGCAGTTTTTACTGTAACAGGGATCTGCCATCCTGGTTCAAGCCCAGAGAAGCTGAGGCTTGAACACTGCACCTTCTCTCTTATTCCCCCTGTATATAGTCCTAAGAGTGGAGTGGAATGTGTTTGGTATTTTGTTTGTGCAGGGAAGACTGCATGCACAGTGCAGTGCATCAGAGCCAAGACAACTCTCCCACCCATGTCTGCAATGTCCCAGTGGATTATGTCAGTGGAGGGGGCAGCAAATCTCCTTTATCCCTTTGATACACCCATGCATATATGCAAAGAAAAAGCTTGAACAATGTTCATGTGATGCTTTCCAGGAGGATTCTTCAGTGCTGGCCTTCTGGTCTTTGTTGATTAGATCAGTGTGGACATTACTTTAGGTTTTTGTTTGTTTTTTCTTTTCTCATTCATGTGCCTTTTTTTTTCATCCTGTGTTGCAAACAGCTTTAAGACAACTTTTGAACAGGACCCATCATATGTGCAAGTTTGGTGTTCTTTCCTGACTGTTTGTATTTTCAGATGGCTTTTAGGATATTTCTGTTTATTCCCCATTTGTTCTTTTGCCTGAGCAGATCAAGTTCCAGGTCTAGGAATAATGTTAGGTTTGACCTTGGAATACTGAAAAGAGAGGAGAAACACAAGAGTGAGTTGTCACATCAGCAGTATATTTTCCATTGTTCTTTCCTTGGCAGATTTCTCCAGAAGTCCTGAAAGGGGACTTTTCAAGCCTAGAAGCAGAGATGAAACACCTCCAGGCCCAGCTAAGTGACAGTCTGAAAGAACTGCACCAGAAAGAGCTCAGAATTCAGCAGTTAAACAGCAAGGTACTGATACGTCTTACACTTGCTTGCAGTCAGGGACAAGGAATGTGGGCAGGGTTTGGCTGCAATAGGGTTCAGGAAGCAGGAGTGGATCTGTCCTTGCAGGCATTCAATGAAGTAACACAAAATCAGAATTGGATCTCTCAGCAAAGGAGTGTTAGAATCACAGTGATGGATTCACTGCTGCTGAACAGGGCTGGCACAGCAGCAGAGCGCATACCCCATGCCCTGCTCTCCTCAGTGAGCAGCTGTGAGAGCCAGAGCTCTGCACAGAGAGAAGCGATGAGGGGCACAGCTGTTCCTATGGACCAGAAGCACATGTGGCAGCTGTGAGAGCCAGAACTCTGCACAGAGAGAAGCGATGAGGGGCACAGCTGTTCCTATGGACCAGAAGCACATGTGGCAGCTGTGAGAGCCAGAACTCTGCACAGAGAGAAGCGATGAGGGGCACAGCTGTTCCTATGGACCAGAAGCACATGTGGCAGCTGTGAGAGCCAGAGCTCTGCACAGAGAGAAGCGATGAGGGGCACAGCTGTTCCTATGGACCAGAAGCACATGTGGCAGCTGTGAGAGCCAGAACTCTGCACAGAGAGGCCATGAGGGGCACAGCTGTTGCTATGGACCAGAAGCACATGCAGGTCCCAGGCAGATCCCATGCAGCAGGCTCAGGGACAGGGTCTGCACCAGCAGCTTTTCTGCCACTGCCAAGGTGACAGAAGGGGAGAGGGAAGGAGAGAGGACAGATGGGAGGGGACAGTGGGGGAAAGAAGTTGAATGGGGGAGGTGAAGGCCAGGGGACCAGAGAGTGGGACCATATGAAGAAAGTTGTTTGCAGGTTCCATGTCCATGGTCAGGAGCACTTGCTAGCCTCCAGCTTTCTGGGCTGCTGAAGGAATTCCCTCCTGGGGAAGGCAAGCTTGTCATCTTCACTTCTGCCTGCTAGCTTGAAACACTTCCTGTATTTCAGTGCAGAATCACAATTGGTCAATTCCCACGCTGAAATGGAAGACCCAGAATTTATTCATCTTCAGAAAGAGAGCTGTGTTCAAGGTGAAAGTGAGAATAAAAAATAACAATTTACTGATGATATTTCTAAAAGCTTTAGGTCAATATCAGCACTTTAGAAATCTTTTTCTGGACAGGTGGTATTCTGTACATCTCTTTGATGTTTTGAGACTCCTGTTACAGAAACCTTTGCCACAAGCTGCTCTTGGAGATTGTCACTGATCTTTTGACATTAGTGATGGGCAGCGTGGCAGTCATATGTTTTCAAGAGAACTCTTACACTCAACTAGACAGAGAACAATTTTGCTTTCACAAAATCAATTTCTTTGCTTGCTGATTGTGTTCTCTTCTCAGCTATCTCAGGTTTTTGAGGAGAAAAATGCCCTCTCCCTGCAGCTGCGAGGGAGCAGTCGGGGCACCTATGAGAGCCATCCGCACTACAGCGAGGTCCTGAACCGCTGCCTGGTGCTCGAGAGGCAGCTCCAGGAGCTGCAGGCTGCAGACAAGAGCATGGTGAGGGGGCTGGCCTTGCTGCACTGCGGGGAAAAGCTCACTGCAAGTGGCTCTGTTAACTGTCCAGCATGGTAGTGGCTGTGTGTCCTCTTGGTTCAGTGCAGTTTGCAGCACGTTCTTGTGTTCTTACAGGAGCTGTTTGCAACAGATGCTGCTCCAGGAGCACCCCAAGAAAAGAATGAGTCACAGAGAGGCACTTACACACCTGAACTGCAGGAGCTGCAGCTGAGGTAAAGAAAGTCTGAGAAAACAGGGGTGGAGATGTTGGTCCTGATGGAGGCCTTGAGGCTAGTGATGAGCCTGATGCTTTTACTCTGCACCAGTGTTGGGAAAACTCAGTCCCACACTAGGATCTTGTGGACTTGGAGGAACTGTTGAATGCACTTACTAGCTGTCATTAGTTATCTCTTTGGATTAGAGCTTAAAAAAACCACAAGGATAACATACAGCAGCAGTGCCAGCCAAACCAGCATCTTGGATCTGGTAGGCTGAATCCTCAGTAGCCGCTGAAGTATATCAATGGTCCTGGTCTCAGGGTTGTAGCCTGAGAGTGTGTCTGGAATTGAGATGTAGCACAGGATTCCTTGTAACCTTCTGAAACTAAGATCTGGCACATGATTCCTCAAACCCTTTCAAAATAATTTTCAGAAGGTGAAGCCATGGTGACAGAGGCAAGGATGTCCTTCCTGATGTGAAACTGAAGCTTGAAGAGATTTATCTTCTCTCATGTTTTCCAAATAGTTTATATATAGTAAAGATGACTAAGTCTCCTCTGTGAGCTGGGAGGTAATTTGAGTCTGTTCACACACTGCATCAGTGAATGCAATAGAAACACAGTGGTCCATGATTTGGGCCTTTTTGGCACATGCTGTGTTACTTCCTGACAGGTTGTCTGAAACAGAACACTTACATAGCAGCACAAAGCAGGATATGAAGTATTTGGAGGAGCAGCTGGAGGAGGAGCGGGACCGTCGCCTTGCTGCAGAGGAGGCTCTTCTTGCAGCACAGGATCAGATCAGGAGGTGAGGCAGCTTGAGCAAAGGAACACCATCACCACAGAGGTGTGCTGCTGCTAGCTCTGTGTTTCATATGCACTTCATCACATCCCTCTGTCAGATGGCACTGGTGGCACAGAGACAGCTACCGTGTCGGTGGCAGAACCACAGAAAGGTTGAGGGTGGGGGTCCAAAGGGGTTCAGGTACCTCCAGAGACCATGTGGCCCAGCCCCCTGCTCAGCCTAGAGCCAGCTGCCCAGGACCCTGTCCAGATGGCTGTTGAGTATGTCCAAAGAGGAAGACATCACACCCTCCCTGGGCTACTGTTCCTTCAATTGTAGGCAGATAGGATGAGACAAACGATTAGACATTAAGACAAGTTCTGCCTAGAAGTTAGATGCCAGCTTGCTCGATTAGTTAAATTAACTACTGGAAAAATACATTTGGAGACTGAGAATTGGGTGCAGGCTGGAGAGGAGTTCTCATGCTTCCAGGGGATTTGTCTGCCCAGTAAGCACCTGTCTGTCATGGCTGAAACAGCTTTGACTTGAAGAATGTCACTCATTTTTAATGTATTGCCAATTAACATCAACTTTTCATTGATTTGGTTATTGATAAACAATTAAACACTTAGGAGAAAGGACTTTTGTCCACTTTTCCCAGGCTTAGTTTGAGCCCCCTGTCCTGCCCCATGCCCCCTCTCCAGCACTGCAGTGTGCACTGCACAGGGCTCTGCCCATCTCAGGGCACTGCATGGATGCCCTCAGAGTCAGCAGAGCAGAGGCAGCTGGTCTGGACTAGATGTTGGCATTAGGATGCAGTGAGCAGCAGGTTCAAAATGCTTGATTCCCCTCATTGACTACGGAGGGGGCTTTAGTGCATGACCTGATTGTAGGCACGCATGCTGTGCATTTCCTGGTAGTTCAAATAACTGGAGTTATGGACTAGTGGAGTCTTTACATGAAAACAATGCCTTTCTTCTGACACACTTGCTGATTTAGTCAAAAAATAATGGTCTGTATGGAAGAATTCTGGATGAAGTTCCCTGGTAATTGCTACAAGGTTTGGACAACTATAGCTCCTTCTGGCATTAAAGTCTATAAAAGCCTCCTGCAGCTGATCTCACTAATAAACCATAGCCCCAGGATGTGATTACTGCCTCTGTCACTAGAAAATAGGAAGAACCAGCACTATTGCAGCCAGAGCTGGCTTCCAAAATAATTTCATAGAATTTAAAGCATACAGGTGTATTATCTGCCCTGACTTCTTTCAAGTCACACTATAAAATTTCACTTGAAAGGAAGAAAGACTCTTAGTAGCTGGGCCACCCTGTTCTTTTGCTCAGTGTGAGCTCAGGAGGCATGAAACCTGTTCAAATGGAACCAGCTCTTGGCAAGTGAAACCAGTTTGCTTGCAGGGGTTGTTTCCTTTTCTGAGAAATACCTTCTTTCCTAAGCTTGGTTACAGTGTTGATTTGGGACATCATAATAAAAAACTGAATTTAATTTCATATTTGTTGTGGCAGGTTGCAGTCAAGTGAGTGGTCATCTTCCTTAAGTGCCAGCATTGATATGACTCCAGGGCACGAGCAGTCCTTGCTGATAGACTCCACGGACAATAATTCCAGCAGAGTAAGAATTTAACATTCACAGCTGTCAATTATGTGAGCCCCAGCTGCTTCAGGAAACAGTGAACCTACAGCACTTCAGTTCCTCTGTAGACACACATAAATCAGTCAGGGACTGTGTAGTTTTTCTGCTCTCACCATGCTGGAAACAAAACTGGATGGGGCTGGTTCATGGACAGCCTGCAGAGAGCAGGGCAAGGGGAGCATCTCGTGAGGATTGCCCTAGTGTTAGAATCTGACAGTGGAGCAATTTGGGGAAGGTTTATGTTCATTAGCTTAAACCAACTTATCTCCATGGTCTGGAGAGTTCCGAATGAAGGCAGCTGGGGCCACAGCCACTCCTTGTGGTGACTGCTCTCTCTTTACTCTTGCAGAGCCGGAGTACTCCTGGACTGCGGCGCCTGTTGCGCTCTCTCCTCCGCTCCCGGGCCCACCTGCCCCTGCTGGTGGCCACGTACCTGCTCGCTGTCCATGTCCTGCTCTTCCTGTGCTTCACAGGCCGCCTGTGAATGGGAGTGGCGGCTTTTCCTCAGCCCTGTGCATGCTGAGGGCCTGCGCGCCCTCACGGGAGGGCAGCACTTGTCCCAGCCTTTCCAAACCAGCCCTGAAGCAGCAGCCTGCTGTCAGTGCTGGGGAGCTGCTCCAGGAGATCTGCCCTTCCCTTGGTGTTTCTATGGGAGTGCTTCATTTGCTGAGCCAGGGTTGTGCTGCAAGCCTCAAGGACAGCATCTGTTCCTGTGCCTGGAAGCAGTACCACTCATTTTAGATAGTATTGTGCTGCAGTAGGAATAAGAAAGATACTCTTGAGTTGCTGCAGTACTTCAGCACTTCTAAAACTGCACAATCTTCCCCCTCTTAGGCTGAATCCATAAGTGAGGTTGGGGGAACATTGTAGCTGGATGTAGGAGAATTGTCTTCCCTTTCTTCCACCGCTTAGATTTGCTCCATGGCTCAGAGCTGTCTGAAATGCATATCCTAAGGAAGTTATGGGCACTTTAAGGAATGTGAATTTTAAAATCATGTTTCCTGCTCAGTTGCATCTCCTGTTGAAGAAGGGCCAAAATTAGTATATCTGGCCATGGTGAGCATTCCATTTAAAATCAGTCATATGTCTGCCCTGACAAGTCTGTAAAATAATGCCAGTAGTTTAGTTATTTAAAATGAATAGGAAACATGAAACCTTTTAGCTCTTAAGTTAAAAATCCTCCTATTTATAGCATTTGTGCACCTCTTATGATGGAAGGTGCTGCCTTACCTCTAGTAGAGCAGCCCTGCTCCTGCCTTCTCATCCACTAAATACTTGTCACAAGACTGAACCTGCACAGGCTGTGTTGAAGGGGTCCATAATGTGCTGTGTGAACCCAAAGCAAATGCACAAGCTCCAGAAATAAACTCTCTCCCTTGTGCTGAGGAAGGAGCCAGAGTTCTAAAACCTTCTGGTTTTAGAACCTCTGGTGTAGAAAGCTGGTGCTGGTGTCTGGGCATGTTTGGACCCAAATCAAATGATACAAATGGACTGAATCTTTTATGATATATGGAAATATGGATCTATTTCCATTTGTTTTCTAAGAACCTCCTGAATTTGAGACTGCCCACTTCCAAAAGGAGAATGTTGGATGCAAAGGAAGCTCAGTGGTGTTCGCTGCCAGATCCTGAGTGGTCATTTCATTCAGAGTACTGGCCAGGAGAATCCCATCTGCCTCTCAGTAGAGCATTAACAGTCACATTTTTCCCATGGGAAAGAGGTAGTTCTTTTGATATTGGTGGTAAACTAAGCTGCTCTAGCCAGTGCAGAAAGCCTGTTTGAGGGTGGAGTGATTTCACTGGTAGCTAAACCAGCTGGATCTCTGGCAGGTCCAGAGCACTGGCACCACATATCCTCTTGTGGACTGTCTGTGATTGTCAGTGTGAACTTCCTCTATGTCAAATTCAATGACCAAATAGTTTGTCTATATCTTCCTGGGGTATGAACTCCTGTATGTATAATAAAGTTTATTTTTCAGATGGAGTTTGTGAAACATTGCCATGTAACTGCAAGTGGAGGGTGTAGTGCTGCTGTATCAGCACACCTTGTGTGGGGCACGGTGGGGCTGCAGGTCCCCTCTGTGTGCACTGCCTTGTGTGATCGCTGCAGAAGCTGTTTCGTTATACAAGTGAATGCCTAGGTGACGGCCTTTTGTCCCTATCTCACTCCTTGTTCAGCCTTTTTCAGCTGACAGAATAAGGAAATAGCACCTGAATGGGCAATGTCTCATGGTAGGGATGGGTGGAACTAATGATTTTAAGATCCCTTCCAACCCAAACCATTGCATGCATCGTGAAGCAATTCCAGTGAAACAATACCTGCCTGGGTTTTTTTTTGCACATTAGCCTGAACGCTGCACCTTGTTAGAGTTGTGTGACCCCAGGACAGATAGAGAAGTTGGCAGCAATGAGCTAGAACATGCTGGTCGTTCAGATGGGACAGTTCAACCGTCCCAACTTTGTGTAGCCAAAACCAGGTACCCTTGTTCACAGTCACTGCTACAGTCCCCAACCACCGCTGGAACAAAAGCCTCCATGGGGCTGTTGTAAGGATGTAGGTGATGTTTGCACTGTGTTTAACAGGAGCAAGGATTATAAGTGAAGTATGTTTCCTTAAAGCGCACGCATTTTTCCCTGAACTGAAGAAAGGCATGATTCTGAGGCCTCAGATACATTTAAATGTTTTATGCCTACAGACAGAACAGTTATAGCTTAGATTAAATATGGGAATAAAACCTCAAAAGGATCTCCTGATCTGCTAAGCATAGGCTGACTGAACAGCTTTGTGGTTTGACCTGATGAAAGATGGGGCCTTTTAGCTGATTGTTCCTGTCTCAAACATTTCAACATTTTATTTCTTGTCCAATAGACCTGTCCTGCCTTGATTTTTGATCTATCTTCAGTAAAGGCTGAGAAGGAAGGTCAGCCAACGAAGCTGTGCTCTGTCATCCTCGGGCACTCAGGCCAGTTCAGCAGCACCCTGAGCTGGGACAGGTGTGGTTACGTGCCAGGAGGAAGGCAGCACCAGGGGTGGGTACGAGTCACCGCATGGAGTTCTAAGGGGTGCCCTCCTGATCCTCTCAGCTCCCTTTACAGGACCCGTGTGAGGGTCTGGGAACGGCAGACAAAGCTCATGATGAGGTGCAAGGAGCCTGTGCAGGTGCCCTCACCAAGGGCAGAGCAACCCCCCTGATAATGAGAGCTGCATCAAGGCCATTGCAGAGGAGAAACAACAGAGGGTGCAGTCACAGGCAAGTTGCTCCTGAGCACAATGGAAGCTCCCTGTGCTGGACTCTTTTCAGGAGTGCTTGCTGCCCCCCAGGAGCCCGAGACACAGGTGTCACTGGAGAGCTGACTGCAGTTCAGTGCAGCCTTTGGACTGTGCCCACTCTGGCTCTCTCATGAGGGTACTGGTGATGTGCAACAGGAACCCCAGGTTTGATCAGAGCAGTTTTCAGGCCCCAAGGCAGAATGGAAAAGGTTCAGGAGCATAGTTAGTGTTCTCCTCAAGCCTCCAAGTGATGGGGAGAGATACTGAAAGTGAAAGGCATGCTCAAGACATGGCTCCAGGATTTGTGCCTCCACCAGAACTCTGGTTTTTATGCCCATGTGAGAGTCTTCTGTAGAACACAAGTGTGCTAGGATCTGCTGGGCTCCAGTGTGCTGATGGAGGAGCTCTGTCTGCACTGCATCAGTGTCTCAGGGCAGAGGCAGCACTGCCGGGGAGCTGCAGCACTGCAGGGGAACTGCGGCACTGCGGGGGAGCTACAGCAGTGCAGGGGAGCTGCGGCACTGCAGGGGAGCTGCAGCAGTGCAGGGGAACTGTGGCACTGCGGGGGAGCTGCAGCAGTGCAGGGGAGCTGCGGCACTGCAGGGGAGCTGCAGCACTGCAGGGGAACTGCGGCACTGCGGGGGAGCTGCAGCAGTGCAGGGGAGCTGCGGCACTGCAGGGGAGCTGCAGCAGTGCAGGGGAACTGTGGCACTGCAGGGGAGCTGAACTGCAGCACTGCAGAGGAGCTGCAGCACTGGGGCCAGCTCTGGGACTCACGACTCGAGCAGAGCTGGGGGCTGGGGTGCAGGAAGTGAAAAGTGCTGAAGTTAAAACAGGAACTCGGAGCAGGCCCAAAGCTGTGCTCAGCAGGTGCCTGAGCAAAAAGCAGCGAGTTTGCCAGCAGGAACTGGTGAGCCTTTAAAGGTAAGAAAACTTGAGGGGGTTTTGGGAGTAGAAAGTGAGAAATTACTACAAAAAAGTGTAGTTTTTGGTGGGCTAAGAACATGTTTAAGTGGACAATGCTCGACATTTGCTTCTCAGGCTGTTGTCCTGTCATCATTGTGGTTCTTGTGTTTGAGGCTCTAAAAAACCACATTTCCAAATCTACCAGCACGACTGTGCTGTGTGGTAGCCCTGTATTTGTGCTGTAGTGGATGTTTTCCTAGGGGAAAATGGGACAAAAAAGGATTGAGATGCTACCCTGGCTGATATTTCTCATATGACAGAGCCTTGTGATGTGATTTCAGCCTGTGGTTTGTCATGGTTCCCACAATGCATGGCAAGCAGCTTTGGAGAATGGGGGGTCAAGAACCATTTACAGTAGTATTTAAAACCTTGAACTGTCTTATTTGAGCTCAAATCAGCTGCCCTGATGATAAGCAGCCCTGTGCTAGCTGGTTATTATTGCTGGTTTATGCTTTACAAAAATGAGCAGCAAACTTTAAAAATCTTTGGCTGAGAGATGCCAAAAAATGAGAGACGGGAAAAGGAGAAGAAAGGTGTTAGTTAGAAGGGGCTGTGTTGTCCACATGAGCGTTTCCAAAGACCCTGCTTCTAATTGCAATTAACTGCATCCAATTTGGCACGGGATTGCTGTCAGTGGGCAATGTCACAGACTGGCTGTGATCCTGAGGCACCTGGAGAAGGCCCAATACCGAAATACAAACTGTGTATCTGCCTTAGCCCTTCATGTGCTCTCTTAGCTGACTACCTGGCCTTTGTTTGACAAAAGAAAGAATCATCCCTGCTGTGCTTATTTGGTTTCTGTTCTCTTCGCTCCCCGATCTTACAGTGCTGGCTCTCTGGAAAGGACAGCTCGAAACTGAGCAGTGCACTCACTAAACCGGAAGGTTACTCACTTAAGCAGTCCCATTTTGATGTGGGACAGTTAATTACTTAGCACAAACAGAGAATTATTAATTATTCCGCATAAACTATTTGCTTTCACAGAGGACAACTGCCCCAAGAGCTCAGGGCTGTCTGAGGCTTCCACACAGCCGTGGGAGTGAGGGGTTAGCACAGCTGGGCACATGGTAAAAGCTGCTGTTAACTGAAGATCCAGCACACAGGAGCTCCCCTCCTTCCTGCTGGTTTGGTCACAGTTTGGTGTGATGGAGAGCAGGGCCCAGCTCAGTCTTTCCTGCACATTCTCTTCCATCTTTCTCTCTGCCCCACGAAAAAGCTGTTTTGGGCAACACAGAGAACTTGCAGTTCCTCAATACTGCAGGCAGAAAAAAGGGGTGGGATATGGAGGGATGGAGCTCTGATGAGAGTGATTGCTCTGGGGTGTAGGGACAGCAAACTAATCTTTTCTCT